TTACAATTTTATTTATATAGACTAGCCGTCCCCTGCCACGCATTGCTGTGGCCCACATGGGGGTTCTGTGTGGGAGGTTTGGCCCAATTCTATCGTTGGTGGGGTTCAGAATGCTCTGTGATTGTATGTGAACTATAAATCCCAGCAACTACAACTCCCAAATGTCAAGATTCTATTTCCCCAAACTCCACCAGTGTTCACATTTGGGCATATTGAGTATTCGTGTAGAGTTTGGTCCAGATCCATCATTGTTTGAGTCCACAGTGCTCTCTGGATGTAGTGAACTACAACTCCAAAACCAAAGGACACTGCCCACCAAACCCTTCCAGTATTTTCTGTTGGTCATGGGAAACTGTGTGCCAAGTTTGGTTCAATTCCATCATTGGTGGGGTTCAGAATGCTCTTTGATTGTAGGTGAACTATAAATCCCAGCAACTACAACTCCCAAATGACAAAATCAAAAAATTTTGAGTGAAGGACAAACATTAGGTTGTTAGGTCTATGCTGTCCAAATTTGGTGTCAATTGGCTCACTGGTTTTTGAGTTCTGTTAATACCACAAACGAACATTACATTTTTATTTATATAGATTGTAGCCCTGTATATATGATCTTATGTATGATATTACATTTCCTCAGGGTGTACCTGCCTTGTCTATATGTGCTGAACAAGATTGACCAAATCTCGCTGGAGGAGCTGGACATCATCTACAAGGTCCCACATTGCGTCCCCATTTCGGCCCATCACCGGTGGAACTTTGATGACCTCCTTGAGAGGATCTGGGACTACCTCAAGCTTGTCCGCATGTAATGATTCAAAGGGTGCGACCCCCCGGGGGAGGAGGGTCAGAGTGTGGGGTGAGGTTTTGAGTCCAAATAAGCACGACCCGAAAGGGGAGGGGGGTTAGGAGCAGGGCTGACCTCGTGACCGTTTCCATACTAATTTTTTGATAATTTTGCTTCTTCCCCCACACACACCCCCAGTTATACCAAACCCAAAGGTCAGCTTCCGGATTATACATCCCCTGTGGTTTTGCCCGACTCACGGACCACGGTCGAGGATTTCTGCATGAAGATCCACAAGAACCTCATCAAGGAATTCAAATAGTAAGGAGATAATGCATTCCCATTAAATCGATATAATAATAATGGGAAGGGAGGGGGGGAGTGTGGCTGATACTCAAATGTAATATGCAACACTCTCCTCTTTGGATTCCCAATAAATTAATAACATATAATTAATTAATTAATTAATTAACTAACTAACTAACAAATAAATAAATAAATAAATAAATAAATTTAAATGTGGGAATGGGGGAGAGTGTGGCTGATGCTCAAATGTAATGTTAATGTTATTTTATTTTTTATAATTCTTAACTATATGTATTACATATTAGCATGTGGTATATACTAGTCTATATATATTATATATATTCTATGTAATATATACTAGTATATATAATTGTATTCTAAAAAAGTTTATATGTATATATTATATGTAATATATGCTAGTAAATATATTAGTATTCCAAATCTATATATATAATTACATATATAAGAGAATGTCATATACACTAGTATATATGTATGTGTGTGTGTGTGTGTATATATATATATATGTATTCTAATATATATATAAATATTTCATATATTGTAATAGCATATGTGATATATACTAGCATATATATTTGTATTCTAAAGTGTATATATTATTACATATATGTAATATTACTAGTATATGTTAATATTCTAAATTATATATTATAAATATTGGTATATAATTACATATATTATCATTACGTAATATATACTAGTATATATGTTAATATTCTAAATTATATTTATAATTACATATAATATAATTATGTATGTGATATATACTAGTATATATAATAATAATCATAATAAACTTTATTTATACCCCGCCCCCTCTCCCCAAAGGGAGACATTTCTGTATTGTCTTTCTTCAACAGACTCAAGGTGGTTTACACACACTTATGCATGCAATATATATATTGTAATATTTATTAATATTTGAATGTATTTATTTGTTCTTTCCAGTGCTCTGGTGTGGGGCTCCTCTGTGAAGCACAATCCCCAGAAAGTGGGCAAAGACCACACCATGGAGGACGAGGACGTCATCCAGATTGTCAAGAAATAAGCCAAAACACCAAAATAAAACGCAGTGTGGCTTGAAGAGTGATGACGGCTTCCTGGTGTCTTTGGAATTAATCGACTCACGCATTTTCTAGCCATTAGATATATTAAATATTCAGGGGAAATATTGGAAAACATTTCAAACATTGTCAAATATTCAAAATAAACTAGACACATAATAAAAGTGAAAATGTGTATGTGTGAAAATGTGAATGTGTCAGAGGTGTCCACTTCCACAGACAGCCTCCCACCTCCACAAACAGCTTTAACCCACAGTGCTGAGGAGCCACCAAAAGACCTCCCTCCAAGGACATTACAGGTTACAGCGGGCACCATGGACATGTCTCCCAATGCCTGCCAGTGTCCTTCCAAACACCATACTGCCCAAGTGAAGGCTTTCATTTGGGGATAATTGTATCCTAGATGTTCTCTTTTTCCTCCAGAATGGACATCCCAAGGTTCCTTAGTCTGCATGACCCCACCCTCAGCCTCTGCCTCTCCCTTAACCCTTTCCTACCCTTTACTATGGCACACAACAAAACAGGAATTGATCAGCAACTGAACAAGGGGTTTGGGAAGAATTCACCATGATTTCTAGGAGTTGTAGTTCACCTACATCCAGAGAGCACTGTGAACCCATCCAACATTAAATCTGGATCAAACATGCCACAAATTGGATTTGCAGTACTTTCATTCATTTCCAGAGACCACCGCAACCCCCATGAATGACAGACACAATTGGCACACGGACCCCCCATGACCCATTATACGTCCTAGTGGGGTTTGGGAGAGAATGGACCATGGATGATGGGATTTGCAGTACCTTCATCAACATCCAGAGACTACTGCAACCCCCACAACTGACAGACCTGGAGCAAACTTGCCTTCCAGACCCACCATGACCTACTATACGTTCTAGTAGGAAAGGGTTAAGGGAGTGGCAATGGGTGGGATCATGCAAATTCCACAGCAATGGAAAGAGTAAGGAACCCTGGGGTGTCTATTCTGGAGGAAAAACAAAACATCTAGAACAAAATTGTCCCTGAATGAAAGCATTCCTTGGGTGGCAAGCAGTATGATGTTTGGGGAGGCTACATGATCATGGCACCCACTGTAACCTGAAATGTCCTTGGAGGGAGTGCTTTTGGTGCCTCTTCAGCACTGAGTTACAGCTGTTTGTGGAGGTTTGTGGCTGTCTGTACGTGGACACCTCCGCCACATACACATTTTCACTTTTATTATGTGTATACATACAAATAAATATAAATTTTATATTTTTATGTATATTACTAGCCATCCCCTGCCACGTCTTGCTGTGGCCCACATGGGGGTTCTGTGTGTGAGGTTTGGCCCAGTTCTATCGGTGGTGTTCAGCATGGTCTTTGATTGTAGGTGAACTATAAATCCCAGCAACTACAACTCCCAAACGTCAAGATTCTATTTTCCCCAAACTCCACCAGTGTTCACATTTGGGCATATTGAGTATTCTTGTAGAGTTTGGTCCAGATGCATCATTGTTTTTGTTCACAGTGATCTTTGGATGTAGGTGAACTACAACTCCAAAACCAAAGGACACTGCCCACCAAACCCAGTATTTTCTGTTGATCATGGGAGAACTGTGTGCCAAGTTTGGTTCAATTCCATCGTTGGTGCAGTTCAGAATGCTCTTTGATTGTAGGTGAACTATAAATCCCAGCAACTACAACTCCCAAATGATAAAATCAATTTTTTGAGTGAAGGACATACATTGGGTTGTTAGGTGTCTTGTGTCCAAATTTGCTGTCAATTCCCCCAGTGGTTTTTGAGTTCTGTTAATCCCACAAACGAACATGACATTTTTATTTATATAGATTATAGTATCTTTGGGGATTTTTGGCTCCAACTGTGTTGCTGTGGATTAGTCTTCCCTTGAAAGAACACACCAAAGTGCACAGGGGCTGAATAGGCCACACATCTTTATTGTTCAGAATATAAGAGTCTTGCACTACTGCCTGTCTATAGAGGCCTAGCAGCAATATCATAAGTCACCCAAGAGTCCTGGTACTTGCAATTTTCCACATTCCAGAGCCCACTTTTCCCCCACCTCGGGGCAATTGACTTTTATGGCAGGTTCATATGTCCTTGCCGCATTTTGTCCTCCCATTTGGCCAATAATAATAGAATTACTTTATTTGTATACCCCATCTTCATCTCTCCAAAGGGACTCGGGGCAGCTTACACAGCGACAAGCCCGGAAAAACACAGATTAAAACACAACGCAATAAAATACATTAAAATAAAAATAAAAACCATCAAATAACACAACATCATAAATGACCATGTGCTCTATGTCAGGAGGGCTAATAGTTGGATGGCGTGGGATAGAGGTGATGACATCACGCCCCCTCCAAAAACAGTCCTCCCGCTCAATGGTTTGGAGGTTTCTGTGGGTATTGTGTGTGAAACTTGATGAGCCTGGGTGCATTTATGTCAGATTCCTTTACCCACAGGCTCATCAGTTTTGCCCTGGCTCTGTCCTTGCGGAGGGGGTCCTCGAAGTGCGACCTCAGAGCCAGCATGAAGGCATCCAAGTTGTTCAGCTTCGGGGCACTTATGTTAGAGAGATGTCCAGGGCAATAGATACGATCGCTCCTGAACGCCCCATCTCGTTGCGTCGAGACACGCCATCTCCCTGGTTCACCGAGGAGTTGACCGTGATGAAACACACGAGAAGGGGGCTAGAGCGCAAATGGAGGAAATCTCGGGACGTGTCTGATCAAGCACGGGCTACAGCCTCACTTAAGGCGTATACCGTGGCTATACGGGTAGCCAGGGAATCTTTCACGACTACCCGTATAGCGTCTGCAGCAAATAGATCATTGGAACTGTTTCGGGTTGTCGGGGAACTCCTTCACCCACCGGTGGTGGAGGAGACCTTAAATAACCCAGGAACTCGGTGTCATGAGTTCGCACACCATTTTGCAGACAAAGTTGCTCAGATACGTCTTGAGTTGGACTCCAATTTCACCACAGTACCGGGGGAGGTGATTGAGGCATCTGCTTGTCCAACTTTGTGGGATTCCTTTAGGCCTGTTCTTCCTGAGACAGTGGAGGAGGTCCTTGGGGCTGTGAGGGTGACCACGTCGGCTCTAGAGCCTTACTCGTCTTGGCTAATCAAATCAGCCAGGGAGGGGTTGGTTGATTGGTTTGTGTTGATCATTAATGCATCGTTGGAACAGGGGTTTTTTCCATTTCGACTGAAACAGGCTGTGGTTCGCCCACTCCTAAAAAGGCATCCCTTGACTCCACGGTGCTGAACAACTACAGACCTATCTCCAACCTCCCTTTTCTGGGCAAGGTGCTGGAGCGGGTGGTCGCCTCCCAGCTCCAGGGCTTTCTAGATGACATCAACTACCTAGATCAGTCACAGTCTGGTTTCAGGCCTGGTCACGGCACCGAGACGGCCTTGGTCGCCTTGGTGGATGACCTCCGTAGAGAGCTGAACAGGGGGAGTGTGACTCTGTTGGTTCTCTTGGACATCTCAGCGGCTTTCGATACCATTGACTATGGTATCCTTCTGGGTCGACTCTCTGGGATGGGTCTCGGGGGCACGGTTTTGTCGTGGCTCCGGTCCTTCCTGGAGGGTCGATCCCAGATGGTGAAGCTGGGAGATGCCTGCTCGGACCCCTGGCCTTTGACCTGTGGGGTCCCGCAAGGCTCCATTCTGTCTCCCATGCTTTTTAACATCTACATGAAACCGCTGGGAGAGGTCATCCGGAGTTTTGGAGTTAGGTGCTATCTCTACGCAGATGACACACAACTCTACTACTCTTTTCCACCGAATTCCAAGGAGGCCCCTCGGGTGCTGGACTAGTGTCTGGCCGCTGTGGCTATCTGGATGAGGACTAACAGACTGAAGATCAATCCCGAACAAAGCTCTTCCTGGTCAATCGTAAACCAGATCAGGGTATAGGGTGGCCACCTGTGCTGGATGGGGTTACACTCCCCCTGAAGTCACAGGTCCGCAGCTTGGGAGCCCTCCTGGATTCATCACTTACGCTTGAGGCTCAGGCGTCGGTGGTGTCCGGGAGGGCTTTTGCACAACTAAGACTTGTGCTCCAGCTGCGACCATACCTCATGAAGTCGGATCTGGCCATGGTGGTCCATGCCTTAGTCACCTCCAGATTGGATTACTGTAATGCGCTCTATGTGGGGCTGCCCTTGAAAACAGCTCAGAAATTCTAACTGGTCCAACGGGCGGCAGCCAGGATGTTAACTGGTGCTCCTTACAGAGAGAGGTCAACCCTCCTGTTTAAGGAGCTCCATTGGCTGCCGTTTACCTTCCGATCCCAATTTATGGTGCAGGTGCTTACCTACAAAGCCCTTAACGGTTTGGGACCTGCCTACCTGCATGACCGCATCTCCGTCTATGAACCCACGCGTTCCCTGCGTTCATCCGGAGAGGCCCTGCTCGCGATCCCACCTGCGTCGCAGGCGCGTTTGGTGGGGACGAGGGACAGGGCCTTTTCTGTGGTTGCCCCCCAACTTTGGAACACCCTCCCCAAAGACATTAGACTAGCACCCACGTTGGCAGTCTTTAGGAAGAGCTTGAAGACCTGGCTATTCTGATGTGTCTTTCCGGAATAGGAAAACTCCAGCACTATGTCCCAGAAGCACTTTATTAGAATTTCAAGATTCTCTGCACATTGGACTTGCCCTGAAATCTAACATGCCACCTGTCACACCCAGCACTTTTAAATTCTGTACCCATTACTTGGCCCGGCCCTAGTTTTTACTGTGTTATGGTGTAATGTTTTGTTGTTATTGCTTTATGCTTTTTTTTAATTTTGCTTTGAGTTGTTTTGCTATGCTATTGTTGTGTTGAGGCCTTGGCCTGTGTAAGCCGCAGCGAGTCCTTCGGGAGATGCTAGCGGGGTACAAATAAAGTTTAATAATAATAATAAATTATACAGGGCCAGGAACCACTCAGCTGCCATGTCCTCCAACTGGTCTGCCACATATGGACCTTCTCAGTTTCATCTACGAAAGAGCCTGCACCAAGATGCATAGGGGTTGAAGACACCACACATCTTTATTGTTCAGAATACAAGTCTCGCACTACCTCCAGTCTATATAGGCCTAGCTACAGTATCATAAATCACCCAAGAGTCTTGGTGCCTGGTGCTTGGCTTTTTCCACATTCCAGAGCTCACTTTCTCCCCACCTCCAGGTAATTGATTTTTTGTGGCCAGTTCATATGTCCTTGCCGTATCCTGTCCTCCCTTTAGACCTATAGCCATGTGCTCTATGTCAGGTGGGCTGATAGTTAGATGGCATGAGAGATCATGACATAATTATGAATAAATATTATAAGTATAAATTTATATTGTTTTATATTTATTTTACTTATTTTATTATAAATTATATTATTATGAATAAATATTATACATAAATTAATATATGTTAAAAAATTATAAATAAATTGGAATTAATTTACACCATGTTCTTTTTAAATTCCAAACAAATCCTATTAAAAATACAGTGAGAAAGAAAGAAATACAATGAGACGTAGGCATTTTGCTATCTATCTTTATGTACAGCTTGATAAATGGAGAAAGAAATTAAGCAAGAGGAAAACAACCGAGAAATAGATATATACAAATAATAATAATAAACAATAAATCCCAACCAAAACAAAAGAAAAACAAAAACCATTATTTTTTTGTTTGTTTTATACATTGTTCTGTATTTACACAAAGGCTCTGTACATATTATTTCTGGCGAAACGAGGAAAGAAAAGAACCTTTTTTTGCCCCATCCTATTTTAATGGCTGCTCTTTGTTTCGGACTTCATTCATTTTACAAAGAAAGAAAAAGGGAAACCGGCGGAAAAAGAAAGGAAAAATGGGATGAAAACTCAAGAAAACATGAGGAAAAAGGCAAAAAGATTGAGGGAAAAGGGAGAAAAAATATTGAGAGAAAAGGAGAAAAAAGGGGAAAAATCAAAATAAAAACGAGAAAAAAATATTGAGAAAACGAGGAGAAAATCGGAAGAAAAACAAGGGGGAAAGGAGAAAAAAATAGAAAAAAAAAGAAAAAGAGGATATTGATAAAAATGAGAGAGAAAAATGAGAAAAAATGAAAAAAGAAAAACGAGAATAATAGCAGAAAAATTGAGGGGGGAGGAAGGGGGAAATGAGAAAAACGGGAGGGTACTGATGAAAATGGGAAAATTGAGAAAAGGAAAAATTGAGAAAAAGCGAGAGGAAAGGAGATAAAAAGGGAGAAAATGAGAAAAAACAAGAGAAATGGGGAGAAAAATGAGATTAAAAATGAGAACAAATGGGGAGATAAGCAAGAAAAAGAAAATCGAGATAAAAATGAGGGCGAAAAAGTCAACATTTTAGAAAAAGGGAGAGAAAAAAGATGGTAAAAATAGGGAGAAAATTGGGTAAACTGGAAAAGAAATTGAGAAATGGGGAGAAAATGGGGTGAAAATGTTCAGAAAATGGATTTTTAAAAGTAAAAAAGAAAGTTTTAAAATTGAGTGGAGAACTGAGAAAATGTTGAGGAAATGGAGGGAAAAAAGAAAAACAAAAAACGGAGAACCTTTTTAATGAGGGGGAAATGAAAATAAATGGGAGGAGAAAGGAGGAAAAATAACGAGGCAAAAAGAATTGAAGAAGTGTTTAGAAATATGTGACAAAATAAAAAGACAAAAAAGAAATCTGAAAAACGAGACAAAAAAGAAAAATAATGTGGAAAAACATGGAAAAAACCTAAAGAAAACCCCAAGAGAAAAAACAAAGCCGCCATTGATGCAAATTAAATCCAATGTCATTTGTTCTGTTTTGCGACAAAAAACGATTTTCCTTCTAAAAACCAAGGAAGACGGGAATTCTGCCCCCGAAAATATCTATTTTCTGAAAGTAAGAAGCACAGAGGTCAAGATAGCCGAGCAGAGGTCCATCGGCAGCCATTTTGTTTCCTGGGGTCGAAGGTCAGGAGTCGTTGGGGGGTCAAGGCCGGAACTCAAGTTCGTCGACACTGATGACCTTGGAGGAGGGCATGGAGGGGAGGGGCTGCTGCAGCACCTCGGAGCCAAACCACCGTGACAGGGCAGAGGAGGACGAGGAGGTGGAGGACACGCCCCCTGGGCCTCCCAGTGAGGACACGCCCATTACGCCTCCGCTGCCACGAGGGAGAGGTGGGGCAGGGCGCATGGCTGAGGGGGGGCCTCCCGAGCCTAAGGGAAGAAAGGTGGTATTTTGAGTCATCTTTGGCCCTCCCCTAGAGCCCACGTGCAATCTAGGACCCCACGGCGACCCATTGTGGACCCTCCACAACATCCCACACACCATCTTGCACCCTACGGCAGCCATTTTGGGCCCAGGTGATATTTTGGACCCTACATCAACCATTTTGGGTCTCATGGCAGCCATCTTGGGCCCTCCCCAACAGCCCATGTACCATCTGGGACCCTACGGTGGCCATTTTGAGTCTCACAGCGGCCACCTTGGGTCTCGCAGTGGCCATCCTGGACCCTCACCAATAGCGCAAATGCAGTCATTTTGAACTCTGGTGTGGCCATTATGGATCCTACAGTGGACATTCTTGGTCCCATGGCAGCCATTTTGCACCCTCTCCAACAGCCCGCATGCCATCTGCAACTCTATGGTGGCCATTTTGAGTCTTACACCAGCCATCTCGGACCCCAGGGCTGCCTTTGTGTGCCCTCCCTAATAGCCCAAATGCAATCATTTCCTGAATTCAGTGACTGAAAGAGACGACGATGCTTTTGGACCCTATGGCAGCCATTTTGAGCCTCACAGCAGATCTTTTAGATCCTCTTCAACAGCCCACAAGCCCATTTGAGTCTCATAGCAGCCATTTTGGACGCTCCCCAAGAGCCTAGATGTTGTTTTGGGCCCCATGGCAACCATCTTGGGCCCTTCCCAATAGCCCAAATGCAGTCACTACCCGAATACAGTGAATGAAACAGACAGTGGCCATTTTGGACCTCAGGGTGGCCATTTTCAGTCTCACAGTAGTCATTTTGGATCTCATGGCGGCCCACAGTGGCCATTTTGAGTCTCACAGCAGCCATTCTGGACACTTTAACAGCCCTTTTGGACCTCACAACAGCCATTTTGGACCCTCTCCAACAGCCCCAGAGCCATTGTGGACCCTACGGCAGCTATTTTGGACCCCACGGTGGCCATTTTCTTTACCTGACCGCTGCAGCTGGTGCTGGTGCTGCATGATGGCCAGCTGGAGGGGCCCTGCTGGGCGTGGGCTGAGGAGCGGGTAACAGGGCTGCCCCAGAAGGGCCAGGTCCACGCCCGGTGGCAGCAGCCCTGTGTGAGAAACAAGAGGCAACCATTTTGGGAAAATGAAATAAGACAGAAATCGCCAGGAAAACAAGACATACAATAAACATAATAAAAACCAATGTACTACTGCTACTGATAAATACCAAACAATAACCAATAGAATATAAAAATGATATAAAATATAATAAAATAAATGTAATATTGCTACTAAATATAAAACAATAACCAATAGAAAATTCAGAATAATATAAAATAATGAATACACTGAAATAAATATACTACTACTACTAATAAATAGAAAACAAAAACCGATAGAGTAACTGTCCCATGCACTGACCGGCTTGGAGCAAGGGGGGCAGGTGGTGCGGGGGGAGGCCTTGGGCAAGCATCCTCTGGACCAGCCCGGGGGGCAGCGGGGGAGGCGGGGCTGGGGGCGGGGCCTGCCGCAGGAAGTGGGCCGGCACTGGGGACACCGCCGGTGGGAGCTTCCTCTCACATAGCACCTTCGCCTCTTTGGGGCAACAGCGCAGCGAGGATGAGGAGGAGCAGCAGGAAGGGGCAGAGCCACGGGATAGCTTGACCCCGGGGGGCGGAGCCTCCAGCTCCATGGCCTGATCTGCAAAGGCAAGGAAAAGAATATATAATATATATTTTATATATATTAAATTACCATGCTTGCTAAATATTCACTAGCAAGCATGGTATATTATATTATAAGAAAAAAGTACAATATTAAGAATAGTAAGAAAATATAACAGTAAAATATTAGGGAGTATAATAATAAATTACTTTAATAAACCCAGCAACCTCTTGGATTGTCTATCAACTGGGCAACCATCGTGGATTCACTACACACCTGTCAGCCATCTTGGTTTCCCATAAACCCAGCAGCCATCTTGGCTCCTTATAAACAACACCAGCCATCTTGGATTCACTATACACCAAACGGCCATCTTGGTTCCTACCAACCCAGCAGCCATCTTGGTTCCTTATAAACCCGGTGGCTATTTTGATTTTCCAAAAACCTGGCGGCCATAATGGTTTCCCTATCAACCAGGTAGCCACCTTAGCTCCTTATAAACCTGATAGCTATCTTGGTTTTCCACAACCCAGCTGCCAATTTGGATTCACTATCAACCTAGTGGCCATCTTGGATTCCCTAGGCACCTGTCAACCACCTTGGATTCCCAATCAACCCGGTGGCCATCTTGGATATGCTACCCACCTCAGCCATCTTGGTTTCACACAAATCCTTATAAACCCATCAGCCATCTTGGGATTCCCTATCCACCTGACAGCCATATTTTGGTCTCTTACAAACCCGACAGCCATCTTGGATTCCCAGTCTACCCAGCAGGAACGTTGGATTCCCCATCAGCCCGGTGGCCCCCTTGGAAGTGGCACCCTTACCGTTGTCGTCGCCTCCGTGGTCGCCTTGGTGCCCCTTGCTCTTCCCATTCTCCTCCTTGCCTTTGTCTTTGCTTTCGTACATCTTGCGGATCACAGAGGTGGGCGTGAAAGAAGGGGAGAGCTGCCAGAGAGGGACAGACAGGAAGGAAGGAAGGAAGCGGGTGAGAAAGAAAGGAGCCTCTCCAGCTCCCCCAACACTACTCTATATAGGGCTTCCTGCCCATTCTCTGCCCTCCCACTCCACCAAAATCTTCTTATAACAATATAAAATAACATATAATACAAAATAATATAGTAATACTATAATGATGTAATAAGAATTTGGATAAATTTCAATAGCATTCCCAATGATCCATGGTTGGGGAACTCAAATGGTGCAACTCTGCGCAGGAATCCCCTCCGCTTGGGTAGAAAGTGACATAACAGGTTGGGGAGGGGGGGCAGACTCACCATGCTGGTGACAGAGGCTGGCGGGGAGGCCGGGCTGGGCAGGTGGCCCAAGGCAGCGGGAGGCTTGGCCATACGACCGGGCTGCCTAGAGGAGAGGACAGAAAAGGGGAGGGGCCTGAGTGGGAGGGGCTGGCCCCACACACGCCCGCAAATGAGGGGAAGGGGGGCGGGGGCAACTATTAACCTGTTCCTGAAGCCCATGTCGCGTCCCTTCTCCACTGCGGCCGGGCCCAAGCCCAAACCTGGCTGGTAAACACCCGAGAGTGTCATGGCTGCTGCCAGGTCTGGCAGGAAGGGGAAGCCCTCCACTGCTCCCGGTGGGAGGTCCAGCTGCAAAGGGAAGAAGGGAATATGTATTACACAGTGAATAAATAGAACAGAGAATAGAATCGAATACAAAAATTCATACATAGAATCATAGAGTTGGAAGAGACCACGTGGGCCATCCAGTCCAACTCTCTGCCAAGGAGCAAGAAAACTGCATTCAAAGCATCCCCGACAGATGGCCATCCAGCCTCTGTTTAAACGTCTCCAAAGAAGGAGCCTCCACCACACTCTGGGACAGAGAGTTCCACTGCTGAACAGCTCTCACAGTCAGGAAGTTCTTCCATGTTGATATAGACATATAAAATAATAAATAATACTAATATATTACTTCTCCACCAGAAGGAGGAAAGCAAGAGTCATCGCCATCTTGAAGCCAGGCAAAGACCGTAATGATCCAAAAAGCTAAAGACCAATCTCCCTGTTGTGCCACCTCTACAAAGTTCTGGAGAGACTTATTTTGCATAGAATTATGGAAAAAATAGACCCATGTCTGATTCCACAGCAAGCTGGCTTCAGGAAAGGCAAAAGCTGCACATCGCAAGTGCTGAACCTGACTCAGCACATAGAAGATGGCTTTGAAAGGCAGCAGATCACAGGAGCTGTCTTCATAGACCTGTCAGCAGCCTATGATACTGTGAACCACCGCCTCCTCCTGAGAAAAATGTATAATATCACAAAGGACTACCACCTCACCCGCCTCATAGGAAACCTGCTACAAAACAGGAGCTTTTTTGTTGAGTTCCAGGGCCAGAGAAGCAGATGGCGGAAACAGAAGAACGGCCTGCCTCAGGGGAGCGTGCTCGCTCCATCCATGTTCAACATTTACACAAATGACCAGACACTGCCAGAAGGGACAGAGAGCTTCATCTATGCTGATGATTGTGCCATCACCGCTCAAGCAGGGAGCTTTGAGATGGTTGAACAGAAGCTCTCCGAAGCTCTAGGTGCTCTTACTGCCTATTACAGGGAAAACCAGCTGATCCCTAATCCATCTAAAACACAGACATGTGCCTTTCACCTTAAGAACAGACAAGCATCCCGAGCTCTGAGGATTACCTGGGAAGGAATCCCACTGGAGCATTGCAGCGCACCAAATACCTGGGAGTCACTCTGGACTGTGCTCTTACCTACAAGAAGCACTATCTGAACATCAAGCAAAAAGTGGGTGCTAGAAACAATATCATACGAAAGCTGACTGGCACAACCTGGGGATCACAACCAGACACAGTGAAGACATCTGCCCTTGCGCTATGCTACTCTGCTGCTGAATATGCATGCCCAGTGTGGAACACATCTCACCACACTAAAACAGTGGATGTGGCTCTTAATGAGACATGCCGCATTATCACAGGGTGTCTGCGCCCTACACCACTGGAGAAATTACACTGCTTAGCCGGTATTGCACCACCTGACATCCGCCGGGAAGTGGCAGCCAATAGTGAAAGGACCAAGGCAGAGACATCTCCAGCTCATCCCTTGTTTGGGTATCAGCCAGCACATCAACGACTTAAATCAAGAAATAGTTTTCTTAGATCTACAGAGACACTCGCTGGAACACCTCAGCAAGCGAGAGTTCAAAAGTGGCAGGCTCAAACCCAGCACCTCAATCCGTGGGTGATACCAGATGAGAGACTCCTTCCTGGGCACACAGAAGACTGGGCGACTTGGAAGGCGCTGAACAGACTGCGCTCTGGCACCACGAGATGCAGAGCCAACCTTCAGAAATGGGGCCACAAAGTGGAATCCACGACATGCGAGTGTGGAGAAGAGCAAACCACTGACCACCTGCTGCAATGCACCCTGAGCCCTGCCACATGCACCATGGAGGACCTTCTTGCGGCAACACCAGAGGCACTCCAAGTGGCCAGATACTGGTCAAAGGACATTTAATCAACTACCAAGTTTGCAAAATTTGTGTGGTTTTTTTAATCTGTTTGTTTGTTTTGCTCTGTTAGAAATGTAACACAATGGTCTGGTTGCTGATGACACGATCAATAAAATAAATATATTACTTCAACAATATTATAATGTAATATAATATTATTACTATTTAATATATAACTTATCCTGACCTGTGCTGCAGCGGGGCTGATGCTCTTCCTCATCCCTTGGAAGGGGTCGCCTAGCAATGGCGCTTGTACACTCGGCCCAAAGCCTAGGCAAGGAAGGGAAAAACAAGACGTTCGTCCAAGATGGCCATCCCTACAGCCCTCCATTAAGACCTTTAATCCAAGATGGCTGCCCTACACCCTTCTGAGGGGAAAAGCAAGGCCTTTCATCCAAGATAGCTGCCCCCAGGGCCCTTCATCTAGCTATTCATTCCAAGATGGCCACGTCCACAGACCTCCATTAAGATCTTTCATCCAAGATGGCTGCCCCCCCCCCCCCCCCAAAGCTCTCATTTAAGGCATTCCATACCCAAAAGGGTCAAGGAAGGCATATGCTCCAAGATGGCCACTGTCCTTACCGACTGGGGAAGGGATGCGATGCCTCAAGTAGTCTGCGGACGAAGCCCGGGGCGGGGGAGGGGTAGGCGAGGAGGTGGTGGTGGTTTCCAGGCCCCCCATCAAGGCGCTCAGGACTGTCGAGGAGGGAGTGGGAGGGGCAGGGACAGGAGCAGGAGGGCGGTTTCCAGGCCCCCCAAGGATCTCCTGCAGAAAGGAAAGGAAAGGCACAATATAATAATAAATAATATTATTATATGATATACTAGATTTATATTAATATTATAATGTAATAATTTTATAATATAACATAATAATAAAATAACAAAAATAAAAACATTATAATATATAATAAAATAATTATAAAGTAATTATAATACAATAACAAAATAAAATAATTAGAATATAATTTTATAATGTAATATACGATGATAAAATATAATAAAATAAAATAATTATAAGTTTATAATATCAGCAATACTATAAAAGAAGATAAAATAATACAATAAAAATAATATTACAACATAACAGACGTATAACATTCATGTAATAAAAATAATATATAATATTATGATAAAATAAAATAATTATAAGTTTATAATATCATAGCAATACTATAAAAGAAGATAAAATAATACAATAAAAATAATATTACAACATAATAGACGTATAACATTCATGTAATAAAAATAATATATAATATTATGATAAAATAAAATAATTGTAAGTTTATAAAATCATAGCAATACCATAAAATAAGATAAAATAATACAATAAAAATAATATTACAACATAATAGACGTATAACATTCATGTAATTAAAATAATATATAATATTATGATAAAATAAAATAATTACAAGTTTATAACATCATAGCAATACCATAAAATAAGATACAATAATACAATAAAAATAATATTACAACATAATAGACGTATAACATTCATGTAATTAAAATAATATATAATATTATGATAAAATAAAATAATTATAAGTTTATATCATAGCAATACTATAAAAGAAGATAAAATAATACAATAAAAATAATATTACAACATAATAGACGTATAACATTCATGTAATAAAAATAATATATAATATTATGATAAAATAAAAAATATAATAATAAAACATAATTATAACAATGAAAAATAATTATAAGTTTATAATGTAATATACTACAAAAATAAAATATAATAAAATATAATAAAAATAATACTATGATAACATAATAGATTTATAATATTATAATAATATATGATGATAAAATAATATAATAACACAATCAGTATAAAGTATAATATACGTTAGTAAAATATTAAATTTGTGTAGGATTTGGGTACTATAATAATATAATCCTGTAAAAAGCCTTGAGGAAAAAGACAAAATAATAATAGTAATTTCATAAGCCAGAGAAAATAATAATAATATGAATGACCTGCAGGATGTTCTTGGCTGTTTCTGGAGAGGAGATCAATTGGCTGTCAAGGTTTTGCTGGAAAATTATTAAAATCAATTATTTATTCTTATTATTCATTATTTTTTTAAAATGCAAATGTGATTTAAAATTGTATTAATTTACTGCATTGTTTCTTATACAGCATTTTATTGTTAATAGAATATATATTATTTAATATTATAATATATTATTTATTATATAATTTATTATGAATTTATTTATTCATTCTTATATAATATATCATTATTTTCTCAATAACTAATATATTACCTTAAATATAATGTAAAAGTTTATAAGAATGAATTATTATTTTATATTTAATAGAATATATATAATATCATTGATTCATTCTTATATCATATATTATATATGTATTATATTAAATACAAATTATGTAATATAACTGTATATAATATATAGATACATAAATCAATAACATTATACATGTATTAATTAAATACAAAATAATTATATAATTGTATAGACTATATATTATAATGAATAAATATTACAATGTGTTGTCAAAGGCTTTCATGGTCGAAATTACTGAGTTGCTATGAGTTTTCCAGGCTGTCTGGCCATGTTCCAAAAACATCCTCTCCTAACATTTGCCCTCATCTATGGCAGGCATCCTCAGAGGAATCCGAGGTCTGTTGGAAATTCGGCAAGTGAGATTTATATATATATACACACACACACACACCTGTGGAATGATGTCCAGGGTGGGAGAAAGAACTCTTATCTGTTGGAGGCAAGTGTGAATGTTGCAATTGGCCAGCTTGATTGAATGGCCTTGCAGCTTCAAAGCCTAGATGCTTCCTGCCTTGGGGAATCCTTTGTTGGGAGGATTAAGCTGGCCCTGACTGATTCTTGTCTGGAATTCCCATTCTTTCTCCCACTCTGGACATTATTTCACAGATATATAAGCCTCACTTGTCTTGACCTCACAACCTCAGAGGATGCCTGTCAGATGCGGGCAAAACGTGAAGAGAGAATGCTGCTGGAACATGGCCGGAAAACTCACAGCAACCCACATACGACAATGTAATAAATAATTCTAATGTATAATTTTTATATTTAATAAAATATAAAAGATCAAGTGTGTGTAGATGTATTGTTTTAATATATGTATATACATATATATTATTTTTATTAGCTATATTACACAGATCATATAATACACTCTCCTCTCAAAACTCATATTATATATATTATATTTATCAGATATTACTATATTACATATTATATTAGAGTGGGCGTGGCTACCAACTAAAAGTGTTTAATATGTTTTCTTGAAGATTCCGAACTGTCTGTGCAGGCGCAGGAAATACCATATGTGCAATTCACAGGGACCATGATGGGGAAATTATTTTATATATAATATTATTTATCCATGATTATATTATAATTATATATGTTATATATGTAATTGATTCATTATAAATTTATTACATTAATATAATATTAATTATTCATTATTATATATTTATTACATTATATTTAGTATAATGTAATATATATATATATATATATATAAGCTTTTTATTTTACCCATTATTATATTCAATATTATAAATTAATTATTACATTATATTTAATATAAAATAAATTATTATATATTATTCATTACTATATATTTTTATACATATATTATTGATTCTTTATTATAGATTATTACATTAATGTGATATTATTATTTATAAGTTATTTGTTATTACTATAAATTATTTATTACCTTATATTTATAATAATAATAATATAATGTATTCATTAATATATATATATATTATACATATGTTATTTTATATTTAATATAATATTAATCCATGATTATATTACATATGATATGGTCGACTTACGTTGCTTTTGGAAGACTGGGAAGGCAGGGTCCCGCTGGCCTTCATGGAGCTGACCAGCTTGTTGAAGGCAGACATGTCTCCGCCTCCTCCGCCGGCACCATCTTTGAAACGCCTCGAGCCCAAGGGATTCTGGGGTGCTTTGGCTTCCGGCTCCATCTTCAGACCTTTGAGCCCGGCCTCCACTTCCTCCACGGACAGAACCACCCCAGAATGCGCTAAAACAAGGTGCAAATAGGTATGCTTGATGCTGCAGCAAACAAGGCCAATACCATCCTAGGATGAATTGAAATCTGGGGATTCGAAGCATTAGTACTATAATACAACATAGTACTAGAAATAATTCAGTATAATTATATATAATAACTAGCTGTCCCCTGCCACACGTTGCTGTGGCCCAGTCTGTTGATCTAGAAAATAAAGTAATGAGAAAGTGTTGGTTTCTAATATATGTAATTTCTTTATGCTTATGGGTAAACATTATTTCTTGCTGTTTCTTTGTCAGTGTTGATGTGGAGAGTGCCTGGTTTGCCTACTCTGGAACATGCAACATATAATTGCCCTTCTTCAGGAGTCCCTTGCAAATCTATACTATATCTGTGTGTGTGTGAATCATATCTATCTATATCTATGGCTGGATGGCTCTTTGTCAGGAGGGCTTTGATTACGTTTTCTTGCTCTGGTGAAGGGAGTTGGACTGGATGGCCTTGAGTATTTTCTGTTGGTCATTGGGATTCTGTGTGGGAAGTCTGGCCCCATTCTGTCGATGGTGGGGTTCAGAACACTCTTTGATTGTAGGTGAACTGTAAATCCCAGTGACTACAACTCCCAAATATCAAGGTCTATTTCCCCTAAACTCCATCTGTGTTCATATTTGGGCGTATTGAGTGCTTGTGCCAAGTGTGGTCCAGATCCATCATTGTTTGAGTCCACAGTGCTCTCTGGATGAAGGTGAACTACAACTCCCAAACTCAAGGTCAATGCCCACCAAACCCTTTCTGTTGGTCAAGGGAGTTCTGTGTGCCAAGTTTGGTTAAATTTCATCATTGATGGAGTTCAGAATGCTCTTTGATTGTAGGTGAACTATAAATCCCAGCAACTACAACTGCCAAATGACAAAATCATAATTTTTTGAGTGATGGTCACTCCTTGTGTTGTGAGACATTTTGTTGCCAAATTTGGTTTGATTTTGTTCATTGGTTCTTTTGTTTTTAAGGTACTTATTATGCACAGAGCATTTTATATATATACTAGCTGTGCCCTGCTGTGCCCTTTAGTAAGAGTTTTGAAGTCTCTGCCTGGCCTCTCTTCCTTCCTTCACTCGCCCTCTTTCCCTCTTTCTCTCTCTCACACTCCTTCCTTTCCCCCCCCCTCTCTCTCTCTCTCTCTGGCATCCCTCCTTCCTCCCCCTTCTTTATGCTTGTGTGTAAACTTGAGTATCTTCTGTTGGTCATGGGGGTTCAGTGTGGCATGTTTGCCCCAATTCTGTCGTTGGTGGGGTTCAGGATGCTCTTTGAGTGTTGGTGAACTCTGAATCCCAGTGACTACAACTCCCAAATGTCAAGGTCTATTTCCCTCAAACTCCATCTGTGTGGATATTTGGGCGTATTGAATGCTTTGGTCCGGATCCATCATTGTGTCTTCAAAGTCGCCCCCTCCCTTCTCCCCACCCCTTCCCTCCCTGAGTCACTCCTTCCCTCCTCCCACCCCCTCCGGAAGACACGCCCCCTCCCTTCGCCCCACCCCTTTCCTTCCAGGAGTGTCTCAGGGAGGGAAGGGGGCGAGGGAGGGGGCGGGTCTTTCCGGAGGGGGGGAGGGGGAGGAGGATCAGGGAGGGAAGGGGTGGGGAGAAGGGAGGGGGGGTTTGAAGACACGCCCCCTCCCTTTGCCCCACCCCTTTCCTCCGTGACTCACTCCTTCCCTCCTCCCTCCCTCTCCGGTTAGACACGCCCCCTCCCTTCACCCCACCCCTTTCCTTCCAGGAGTGTCTCAGGGAGGGAAGGGGTGGGGCGAAGGGAGGGGGCGTGTCTTTCCAGTGGGGATGCGGTGCGGCCAGGGAGGAGTGAGTCAGGGAGGGGGAGGAGGGGGGGAGGGGGAGACTTTGAAGACACGCCCTCCCTTCGCCCACCCCTTTCCTTCTGACTCACTCCTTACCTCCTCCCTCCCTCTTCGGTTAGACACGCCCCCTCCCGTCACCCCACCCCTTCCTTCCAGGAGTGTTCAGGGAGGAGGGAAGGGGTGGGGTGGGGTGAAGGGAGGGGGCGTGTCTTTCCGGAGGGGGGGGGAGGAGGGAAGGAGTAAGTCAGGGAGGGAAGGGGTGGGGCGAAGGGAGGGGGCGTGTCTTTCCGGAGGGGGTGGGAGGAGGGAAGGAGTGACTCAGGGAGGGAAGGGGTGGGGAGAAGGGAGGGGGCGACTTTGAAGACACGCCCCCTCCCTTCGCCCCACCCCTTTCCTCCGTGACTCACTCCTTCCCTCCTCCCTCCCTCTCCGGTTAGACACGCCCCCTCCCTTCGCCCCACCCCTTTCCTTCCAGGAGTGTATCAGGGAGGGAAGGGGTGGGGCGAAGGGAGGGGGCGTGTCTTTCCGGAGGGGGTGGGAGGAGGGAAGGAGTGACTCAGGGAGGGAAGGGGTGGGGAGAAGGGAGGGGGCGACTTTGAAGACACGCCCCCTCCCTTCGCCCCACCCCTTTCCTCCGTGACTCACTCCTTCCCTCCTCCCTCCCTCTCCGGTTAGACACGCCCCCTCCCTTCGCCCCACCCCTTTCCTTCCAGGAGTCAATCAGGGAGGGAAGGGGTGGGGCGAAGGGAGGGGGCGTGTCTTTCCGGAGGGGGTGGGAGGAGGGAAGGAGTGACTCAGGGAGGGAAGGGGTGGGGAGAAGGGAGGGGGCGACTTTGAAGACACGCCCCCTCCCTTCGCCCCACCCCTTTCCTCCGTGACTCACTCCTTCCCTCCTCCCTCCCTCTCCGGTTAGACACGCCCCCTCCCTTCGCCCCACCCCTTTCCTTCCAGGAGTGTCTCAGGGAGGGAAGGGGTGGGGCGAAGGGAGGGGGCGTGTCTTTCCGAAGGGGGTGGGAGGAGGGAAGGAGGGGTGGGGAGAAGGGAGGGGGCGACTTTGAAGACACGCCCCCTCCCTTCGCCCCACCCCTTTCCTCCGTGACTCACTCCTTCCCTCCTCCCTCCCTCTCCGGTTAGACACGCCCCCTCCCTTCGCCCCACCCCTTTCCTTCCAGGAGTGTCTCAGGGAGGGAAGGGGGGGGGCGAAGGGAGGGGGCGTGTCTTTCCGGAGGGGGTGGGAGGAGGGAAGGAGTGACTCAGGGAGGGAAGGGGTGGGGAGAAGGGAGGGGGCGACTTTGAAGACACGCCCCCTCCCTTCGCCCCACCCCTTTCCTCCGTGACTCACTCCTTCCCTCCTCCCTCCCTCTCCGGTTAGACACGCCCCCTCCCTTCGCCCCACCCCTTTCCTTCCAGGAGTGTCTCAGGGAGGGAAGGGGTGGGGCTCCGGTTAGACACACCCCCTCCCTTCGCCCCACCCCTTTCCTCCTTGACTCACTCCTTCCCTCCTCCCTCCCTCTCGGTTAGACACGCCCCCTCCCTTCGCCCCACCCCTTTCCTTCCAGGAGTGTCTCAGGGAGGGAAGGGGTGGGGCGAAGGGAGGGGGCGTGTCTTTCCAGTGGGGATGCGGCGCGGCGAGGCTTGGAGTGTGCGGAGCGGGGCTTGGAGGCAGCGTGGGAGGAGTAAGATGAAGGAGGGGGTGGAGGGAAGGGGGCGGGGGGAAGTTGCGTTGTTTGTGTGTGTGTGTGTGTGTGCCGTGGGGAAGTGCGGTGACGTGTTCGCGCTGGGCGGGGTGAGGGAGGGAGGGAAGTGCGTTGGCCGTTCGGCCATGTGTGCGCGCGCGCTGGGGACTTTGCGCCAGTGCGCATGCTCAGTTGTTTTGCCGTTTTTTCTGTGTGTGGTTGTGTTGTTTTGATTTCTGACTGGATTAGTTTGTACCTAGTGGGTTGTCCTTGGGGCATGGCAATTTTGGTGGAGTTTTGTGGAGGGGTTTTAGAGTTTTGCTTCCCCGTTGGACGCCAGTAGGAAATTTATAGAGATAGATATTGTATACTACTGTATTAAATGTAATACCACAAATAATACATAATAGCATGATATATATATAATATTAGAACTTATATAGTATTATAGTATATTTTAATATAATATTATCATTCAACTCACTGCTCTGGCGGAGCTTCTCTTTATTGGCGGAGAGGCTGGAGAGCAGGGGTCGGAGGTCAACCTTGGCTTTGTGCAGCATCTCCAGGATGTCCACCTCTTGGCCCTCTGGGCAGGAGGAGGCCCCGCCACCCGGGCCCAAGCCACGCCCCCCTCCGTGTCCTGGGCCCGCTTCCAGGCCCTCCACCGGAATGGGGGCAAAGAACGCCCCGCCCACTGACCCCGGTGGCGATAGGCCTAGGGAGGGAAAGGGAGGAAGGAAAGATGGGAGAAATAACAAAAATTAATACACATTTATATATTGTACGTATTATTATAATTATATGTTACATATTATTACATATATTATAATAATGGCAATAAATAAGCTTTATAGTAATTGATAGAGTGCCATAGGAATGATAATAATAATAATAAGATGATGATGTTAATAATAATAATAGAGTCCTATAGGGATGATAATATAATAATAATAAGGATAATAACATATAGTAATATAATATATAATATAATTATATCATCATCATCATAGATTTCAAGCATCAGGGAGGATAATATTTATAATATTATGTAATAATAGTCCTATAGGAGTGCTAAAAATGAAAATATAATAATATATTATTAATAATAATAATAGATTCTTATAGTGGTGATGATGATGATAGAGACAGTGGAGAACAGAAGCTGAAGAGCCCATGCAAGCAGAATGTCAAAGGGAAAAGACTACAGAGAAAGAATGTTAATAGTTATTAGACCTTTATTTCTTGATTGTTTAATCTTTGTTTCAGCTTTGAAAAGGAATCAGCTGATTCCTAATCCATGTGCTTTCCATCTTAAGAACAGACAAGCCTCCCAAGCTCTGAGGACTACCTGGGAAGGAATCCCACTGGAGCAGCGCAGCATACCCAAATACCTGGGAGTTACCCTGCACCATGCTCTAAGAAGCACTGCTTGACTATCAATCAAAAAGTGGGGGCTAGAAACATCATCATGCGAAAGCTGACTGGCACAACTTGGGGATCACAACCAGACACAATGAAGGCATCTGCCCTTGCGCTTCGCTACTCTGCTGCTGCGTATGCATGCCCAGTATGGAATACGTCTCACCACATTAAAACAGTGGATGTGGCTCTTAATGAGACATGCCGCATTATCACAGGATGTCTACACCTCACACCAAAGGGGAAATTACACTTTTTAGCCGGTATTGCACCACCTGACATCCGCCGGGAAGTAGGACCAAGGCAGTGACATCTCCGGCCCATCCTCTGTTCAGATATCAGTCAGCACGCCAATGCCTTAAATCAAGGAATAGTTTTCTAAGATCTACAGAGACACTCTCAGGAACACCTCAGCAAGCGAGAGTCCAAAAATGGCAGGCTAAAACCTGGAACCTCAATCAGTGGCTGAGACCGGATGAGAAACTCCCTCCCGGGCACACAGAAGGGGAAAGGGGGTTACGGTGGGGTTATGGGGGAGGAGTGAGAGGAGAAGTAAGCAAGGAAGCTAAGGAGACGAGGTGGAGATATAAAAAGGATTTTTTTTAAAAAAACGAATGGGTAATTTCACCAGACTAGCACTGAATATTAATGGGATGGCAGATCTCAAGATATACAGGATGTTGACATTGGCAAGGGACTGTAAAATATACCTGATATGTTCTCCGAAACACATCAAAAGAGGGGGAGTGAAAAATTAGGTAAATGTAAAGGTTTCCCCTGACATTAGTCTAGTCATGTCCAACTCTAGGAGGTGGTGCTCATCTCCATTTCTATGCTGAAGAGCCGCCGTTGTCCATAGCCACCTCCTGGGTCATGTGGCCAGCATGACTGCATGGAGCGCTGTTACCTTCCCGCAGAAGCGATACCTATTGATCTACTCACATTTGCATGTTTTCGAACTGCCAGGTTGGCAGAGGCTGGGCCTAACACTGGGAGCTCACCCCTCTCCCAGGAATCGAAACGCCAACCTTTCGGTCGGCAAGTTCAGCAGCTCAGCAGTTTAAACCGCTGCACCACCGGGGGGCCTAAAGTGATAAATTGATTAAGGTTGAGAATGGAGCAGAATTTGCGAATCTCGTGGGACAAGTAATGCAAGAGGTGTAGCGATTCTAATTAACAAAAATGTTCCATTCGAGAGTTCAATTTTCCCAAAGATAGGGAAGGCAGAACAGTTTTTGTGAAAGGAAAGATCCATCGGATTAAAATAACATTAGCTGTGAGGTACTCACCAACCAGAAATACAAAAAAGTATGTACTGAATCCAAAAAAGAAGCTTGATAATTAGGCGGAAGGGACACAGATTTGGGCAGGTGATTTCAATTTGGACTTAAGTATGAAAATTAACAAAGCATTGTTAATAGTCCTATCATCAGGGATGATAACAATGATAATAATAATAATAATAATAATAATAATAATAATAGAGTCCTATAGTCTATCATTACATATTTGTATTTTATGTTACATATGTAAGATTACATACTACATACTATTACATATATTATTTCATGATTATTTCTATATTATTATTATTATATTATATTATCATCCTTGATGACAGGACTATTAAAAATACTTTGTTAATTTTCATAGTTAAGTCCAAATATAATATTATATATATATATTCTATATTATTACTATTATTATTATACAGTATTATTTTATTATATAGCTATATTTTGTACATTTATTGTTATGTTTTCTACTATATTATTATAAATTATTATAATTATCTATATTTACATACTTGCTTGGGTACACAGCAATGCCCAGGTTATTTGACGAAGGCATTGTTTGTTTTTTAGTGTTAAGTAATATTTAGTTAATTAGTAACACTATTTATTAGGAAAAAAAACCAGTTTTGATTTGGTTTTTTATGAATGCTCCCATTAGAAAATGCATAAGGATGTGGGTGAACTACAATTCTCAAAACCATAGGTCAATCCTTCCCAAACACTTGGCTATGTTGCATCTGTGTGCCATGTTTGGTCCAGATCCAATTTTGGCTGGGTTCAGTGCTCTCTGGATGTAGGTGAACTACAACTCCTATAAATCAAGGTTAATTTCCCCAAACCTGGTCATGGGAGTTCTACGTGCCAAATGTGGTCCAGGTCCATTATTGAAGGGGGTCACAGTGCTGTGACTTGACGCAGAGTGAACTACAACTTCCATCCTGTTGAGTCAGTCGCCCCCAAAACCCTCCAGTCTGTTTAGTTGCTAATCAATTCTTCTGTTTGCTGTGTGCCATAGGAAAGGGTAGGAAAGGATTAAAGGAGAGGCAGTGGGCGGGGTCATGCAATTCCACTGAAGAAACCTTGGTGTGCCTGCCTGTGGTGGAGGAAACATGTCAAATTTAGGTCCCAGAATGAAAGCATTCCTTGGATAGTGGGCCGTAGTGTTTGGGGAGGACATTGGCTGCATTTGGGCTACATGTTCATGGCGCTCGCTATAACCTGCAATGTCAGTGGAGGGAATGCCTTCGGAGGCTTCTCAGCACTTGGAACTATAGTCTGTTTGTGGGGGCCGGAGGCTGTCTGTGTAAGTGGACATCTCTGACACATACACACATACACATTTTTCACTTTTATTATGTGTGTAGATTATATTATGCTATGAACTTGACATAATAGTATACATATTAAATACCACTATTATTCTATAGTATTATTTTATAATATTAACAATTATTCTATAGGTATATTTTATATGATATATTTATTATGTTTATATGATATTTCATATTATTCTATACTAGCCGTCCCCTGCCACGCCTTGCTGTGGCCCAGTCTGGTGATCTGGAAAATAAAGTAATGCAAAAGTGTTGGTGTAATATATGTAATATATGTAATTTCTTTATGCTTGTGTGTAAACTGTATTTGATTACATTTTTCTTGCCCTGGTGAAGGGAGTTGGACTGGATGGCCTTAAGTATTTTCTTTTGGTCATAGGGGTTCTGTGTGGGAAGTCTGCCCCAATTCTATCGTTCGTGGGGTTCAGAATGCTCTTTGATTGTAGGTGAACTATAAATCCCAGTAACTACAAACCCCAAATATCAAGGTCTATTTCCCCCAAACTCCATCTGTGCTCATACTTGGGAACATGGAATATTCGTGCCAAGTTTGGTCCAGATCCATCATTGTTTGAGTCCACAGTGCTCTCTGGATGTTGGTGAACTACAACTCCCAAACTCAACGTCAACGCCCACCAAACCCTTGTAGTATTTTCTGTTGGTCATGGGAGTCCTGTGTACCACGTTTGGTTCAATTCCATCATTGGTGGAGTTCAGACTGCTCTTTGATTTTTATTTTATTTTTTGGTCGTGTCAGGAGCAACTTGAGAAACTGCAAGTCGCTTCTGGTGTGAGAGAATTGGCCGTCTGCAAGGACGCTGCCCAGGGGACGCCTGGATGATTTGATGTTTTTATCATCCTTGTGGGAGGCTTCTCTCATGTTCCCGCATGAGGAGCTGGAGCTGATAGAGGGAGCTCATCCACCTCTCCCTGGATTCGAACCTGCGACCTGTCGGACTTCAGTCCTGCTGGCACAGGGGTTTAACCCACTACACCACCGGGGTTTTTCCAAGAATGCTCTTTTGATTGTTGGTTAACTATAAATCCCAGCAACTACAACTCCCAAATGACAAACTCAAAATTTTTTGAGTGATGGTCACTCCTTGTGGCCAAATTTGGTGTCAATTCATCCAGTGGTTTTTGAGTTATGGTAATCCCACAAACAAACGTTACATTTTTATTTATATAGATGCATATCATATTGTATTACTATATATTTTGTATTATTATTATAATATATTTCTATTTCATATTATGTTTATTATTATAATTTTATATTAAACATCATGTTATATATTTTGTATTATTTTATATTATTATTATTATTATCATTATTATTATTGAAGAATATGACTCTATGTTCTGTATGAGATGACCTACCGGCCAGGCGTTCGAGCTCCTCATGCGGGGTGGAGCGCAGGCTGCTAGACCGGCTCCCAGAGCGGCTGGGGTTGGAGGAGAACCAGCGGCTGAAGCGACTGGAAGATACAGATGACACCGACCCCTCGCCCAAGACGTCCTCAATCATCTGTCCAAAACACACCAAGGCAATCAATTGTCATTACAAAAGACAAGGGGGTCAGGCTAGGTGGTCTCTGGGGAGTCCCCTCCCCAACTCCAAGTTGGATTATGTAGTATAATATAATATTGTACTTATTATACTATTATTAGTCATATTGTTAACAAATATTACTATACTCAATTCTTAATCATATATTATTATACTCATATTATTATATTACTATTATAACATTTCTACAAGTACTATTATTATTTTCTCCATTATTATTATAGTATTTTTATGGTCATTATTATACACAAATCTTATAATAGATACTCATATTACACATAGTAATATAATACTATTATTAGTTATATTATTAAATATTACAATACTCAATTATTAGTCATATTAACTATTACAATACTCGACTATGAATATTGTATTATACATATTGTTATAGTCATGATTACTATACTCATCTTACTATTATATTTTTTACTACTTCTGTGAGTACTATTATTATTGTCTCATTAGTATTAAAGTATTATTATTATTATTATTGGAGTCTAATTATTATACTCATTAAATATTCGTACTCCTATTATACATATTATTATTATACTATCAGTAATATTGTTAGAATTATTAAATAATATTCACTCATATTATAATATTATTATAATACATTTATTAGTCGTATTATTATTGAATATTACAATAATTATGTCATAGGTAAAGATAAAGGTTTTCCCCTGACATTAAGTCCAGTCGTGTCCGACTCGGGGGTGATCTCCATTTCTATGCTGAAGAGCTGGTGTTGTCTGTAGACGGCTCCAAGTTCATGTGGCTGGCATGACTGCATGGAGCACCGTTACCTTCCCGCTGGAGCAGTACCTATTGATCTACTCATATTTGCATGTTTTCAAACTGCTAGGTTAACAGAAGCTGGGGCTGACAGCGGAAGTTCACGCCGCTCCCCAGATTCAAACCTGCGACCTTTCGGTCAACAAGTTTAGCAGCTCAGTGGTTTAACCCACTGCGTCATATTATTATATTATTGTTATATTATTATTATACTATTATTAGTCTTTTTACTATAATCATTAAAATATTCATACTCATATTATACATATATTATCATCATTATAATTATTAAATAATATTCACTCATATTACACATATTACATTACTATTATACGATACTCGTATTATTGAATATTACTATAATATGTCATATTATATGAATGTTGTATTATATTAATATTTTATATTATTATTAATCATATTACTAAAATTATCAAAAATATTCACTCATATTATACATACAATTATTATACAATTATTAGTCATATGATTATTAAATATTACAATTATTATTAGTCATATATTATTATAATATTGTTACGTTGTTATTATTATTATTATAATACACTCACGGAGGCCAAACCAGGGACACTCTTATCCAGGTTGAAGAACTCATTGAAGTCAAACTCCTCCCGGGTGGGCGGGACTTCCTGTTCGGACACCGCCACTTCCTGTCTGCGGCCCACTTCCTCTTCAGCCAAACCCCCATTGCATTCGATGCCTGAGAGGGACAAATAGAGGATGGAACCTTATAATCTTCTATATTACCTATACACATAATAAAAGTGAAAATGTGTATGTGGCAGGGGGATCTGCTTACACAGAGAGAGTCCCACCTCCCCAAATAGGCTATAGTGCCCACTGAGCAGGAGACACCCATGACCCACCCAAAACTGCCATTGCAGGTCACCATGAACATGTCCAAAAGCCCTGCCAATGTCCTCCACAAACATCATACTGCCAACCACACAAGCGAAGAATTTTGCTAGAATTTCAGCCTAGATTTTCAGTTCTTCCTCCACCAAGGACACCTTCCAGGGTTCCTTTCTCTCTCAACTGCAGGGGAATTTGCATGACCCCATCCACTGCCTCTCTCATAAACCTTTCCAACGGGACACAGCAAACAGAGGAATTGATCAACAACTGAACATTCTGTAGGGGATTGGGGGACTCCACAGGAGTTGTAGTTCACCTTGCATCAAGAGACAGCACTGTGACCCCCACAGACAATGGACCTAGAGCACATTTTGCACACAACAAAACATACTGGAGGGATTTTGGGGGAATTCACCTAGATTTATAGTTGTAAGTACTGGGATTTATAGTTCACCTGCAATCAAACACTCTGGATCCCACCAACAGTGGACCTGGAACGAACTTGGCACGCAGAACCCCCATGACCAAGAAAAAACACTGGAGGTCTTTGGAGGGATTTGTAGTTCACCTACATCCAGAGTGGATCTGGACCAAACTTGACATGCATACCTGATATTTCCACATTTGAATACTGGTGGGTTTGGAAGGGAATTGGCCTGGACATTCTGGAGTTGTAGGTACTGGGGTGTATAGTTCACCTGCAATCAAAGAGCACTCTGGACCCCATCAATGATGGTCCTGGATCTCACTTAGCACACAGAACCGCCATGACCAACAAAAAATGCAGGAGGACTCTGGGACTCCCCATGACCACCAAAACATACATTGACCTTGATTTATGAGAATTATAGTTCACCTGCAACCAGAGAAACTGTAACTCCGACCAACAATGGACCAGGACTAAACTTGGCACATAATAGCCCCATTACCAAGTGAACATGCTGCTGGAGTTTTTGAGAACTGACCTTATTTGGGAAGTTGTAGTTTACCCTTATCCAGAGAGCACTGACCCCAGCCGATGTCGGATCTTGACCAAACTTGGCACACAAATCCAACATGTCCTACTGTGCATACAGGTGGGGTTTGGGGGAGACTGGCCTTGGATCTGGGAGTTTTAGTTCACCCTTATCCAGAGGGCACTGAACTCACCTAACAACAGATCTGGATGAAACTTGGCACACAGAATGCTGGTGACAAACATAACATACTGCAGGTATTTAGGGGGGACCGATCTACTCGCACAGGAGTTGTAGTTTACCCTGCATCCAGAAATATTCTCAAACTTTCCAAAATGAACAATGCCTTTTTCAAATCGCTCAGGCATCAGCAAGTCCCCAAGCTAGTATATAATAGAATATATATAAAATAATATGAAAGATATAATATAAAGCAAAATACATAATATAAATGTAAGCCAAGAGATAAAGCAAGGTATAAATAATCTATATAAATAAAAATGTAATGTTCGTTTGTGGGATTAACAGAACTCAAAATCCACTGGACAAATCGACACCAAATTTGGCCACAAGACACCTACTAACTCAAGAAGTGACCATCACTAAAAAAATTGATTTTGTCATTTGGGAGTTGTAGTTGCTGGGATTTATAGTTCACCTACAATCAAAGAGCACTGTGGACTCAAACAATGATGGATCTGGACCAAACTTGGTACGAATATTCCATATGCCCAAATATGAACACAGATGGAGTTTGGGAGTTGTAGTTACTGGAATTTATAGTTCACCTACAATCAAAGAGTACTCTGAACTGAACGAACGACAGAATTGGGGCAAACTCCCCACACACAACCCCCATGACCAACAGAAAATACTTAAGGCCATCCATTCCAACTCCCTTCACCAGGGCAAGAAAACGTAATCAAAGCCCTCCTGACAAAGAGCCATCCAGCCATAGATATATATATATATAATTCACACACACACAGATAATAGTATCATAGACTTGAAAGGGACCCCTAAAGAAGGATAATTATATGTTGCCTGTTCCAGGGTGGGCAAACCAGATAACCTCCACATCAACACTGACAAAGAAACAGCAAGTACCGTTTACCCACAAGCATAAAGAAATTACATATATTACAAACCAACGCTTTCTCATTACTTTATTTTCCAGATTACCAGACTGGGCCACAGCAATGCGTGGCAGGGGACAGCTAGTAAACATAATAATAATGAATATAGTAATACTAAAAACAATATAATGCATAATACATAATGTAATATTAATATGTATTACATACTACATAATATATATATATATAAATGATATAATATATGTTATATAATACATAAAGTTTAATATACAATGAATAATACATAATGCATATTTTATATATTATACATTACAATACATTATATAACACATTAGAAAATATATAACAATATATAATACATAATATAATACATAATTCACAATACAATATCATATATAATATAATATATAATAAAATATATTACAATGCATAATCCATGTTATTACATATAATTCATAATACAATATAACATACAATACATATAATATATGCAATATAATATATATTTTAATATGATACAAATGTAATTATATTATGTATTATATATATTAATATAATACAATAATGTATATTTAATATATTAGAATATATTATATTGTATATATCATATTGTTAAGCATTATATACAATATAATATATATTTTAATATAGCACAATATTACAATGTATATTATATATCAGTATATATTATACTGTATATATTATGTTATAAATTGTGCATTATATTATTTTATATATTATATGTTTAATATAATGCAATATAATAATGTATATTTTACAAATTATTATAAGAATATGATATTGTGTGTATTATATTATGTGTTATGCATTATATTATACATTATAATATAAATTATAATATATAATATGTAATATGCAATAAGGGGGTGGGGGTGGCTACCTACCTTCTTTGAGGGAGGCGTTCCTCCTCCGGGAGCGCTTCCGGCCTTTCTGTTCCTCCTCCAGGATCTTATCATCAAAGCCAATCAATTCGATGGTCTCTGACTGGCTGGTGGGGCCCGCCGAGAACCACTCTGGCTCTTCTTCCGTGTAGGAGTCGTGGCGCCGCCGCTCCCCATAGCTTCGTTTCCCCTCTCCATAGTCCCTCTGCAAAGCAAGGGAGGAGGACACATATCATTCGCACTGTATTCAAATATTACATTATATTATTATTTTAACATTAAAACATAATTGTGTTATATTGATATATTATCATAATAGTATTATTTTATATTAAGTTTCTCTTCACCTACCTCCTTGTTTCACATCAATAATATTGTAGAATAATATAATAATGTAATAATTACATACTAATACTAACATAATAAAATATTTAATATAATAATTCAATATAAAAATGTAATGATAATATAACATAATGTAATGACAATAACATAATATAATAACATAATGTAATACTATTAATACTAATGAACAACTATTTCCCATGCCATGTCCTGTCCCAGTACCAAATTTGTCTTTCTGATGCACTTCATCTTGTCCCTCAGTGGAGATTAACCTCATTGTTTATCCCACCCGAGCCTCCCACTAGACACAGCATTTTATCTATCTATCTCATCAACGGGTTTTACAATTTTTACCCTTCACATTTGGCCCAGCTCACCCTTGTTTAATTCTCTTAGCATTTTATACTTTGTTTATATTATGTTATTGTCATTCTTTTATTACATTACTATGTAATTGTTAAGCATTTTTATTTGATGTTATCGTCTTTTGTATGTACTTTACTTTTGCTTTACTGTAATTATTTGGGCTTGGTCTCATGTTAGCTACACCGAGTCCCTTCAGGGAGATGGTGATGGGGTATAAATCAAGTTTTATTTTTTTATTATTATTATTAATAACATAATATTTAGTAATATAATATGTAATAATAAATATAATTACATTTATAATACAACACTTAAATAATAATATTTAACTTTTCATATTATATTATTATATTGATTATATTATTAATAATAACAATAATAATAATAAACTTTATTTATACCCAGCCACCATCTCCCTCAAAGGGGAGCAGCTTACATGAGGCCAAGCCCGACGATACATCAAAAATAAAATACAAACCAACAAAATATAACATCACAATAAAATAAATAAAACATTCAAATAAAATAAGCAGTGCAAAATAACATAACGAAAAGTCAAACACAGTGGGTGGGCCAAATGCATAACACAAAATAATAAAACTCTGGATGAGATAGAAGTGAACAAGTATATTTATGAAGGAGGAGCTCGTATGGGACAGAACAGTGGAGTTAGGCCTTCAATAAGGTGAGAAGTGCAAAATGAGGACAACACTGCAGTTGAAGCACCAGGAATGGAATATATGGTCACTCTCCAAAAGCACATCGGAAAAGCCAAGTTTTTAGGTCTTTCTTAAAGGCTGCTAGGGTGGGGGCTTGCCTAATCTCGCCAGGTAGTGAATTCCACAACCGGGGGCCACAGCGGAGAAGGCTCTCTCCCTCGTTCCCACAAGGCATGCCTGTGACGGAGGAAGGGGCGAAAGGAGGGCCTCCCCCGAGGATCGGAGGGATCGTGCAGGTTTGAAGTAGGAGATGCGATCACGCAGGTAGGCGGGTCCCAAACCGTTTAGGGCTTTATAGGTGATAACCTGCACGTTGAATTGGGACCGGAAAATGAACGGCAGCCATTATTGTTATATTATTATAATAATCCAATATAATAATGTAATAACGATATAAGTTTTTATTCTCCTACTTCCTTGTCTCTCACTTATATAAACAATAATATAGTAACATAATGTAATAATATGATCCAACATAGTCATATATTATTATATTATGATATAATAATCCAATATAATAATGTAACAACAACATCATATAATACTAGCCATCCCCTGCCACGCGTTGCTGTGGCACAGTCTGTGTGTATGTGCTTTGTGTGTGTATATATTTGTGTATATGTGTGTTTGCATATATATATATGTGGTTTTGTGAATGCATTGTAATGTTTTTTTTTGGCTTTTTAAGTCCCTTCCGCTGTGTTTTTCAATGTTTTATGAGTGATGGTCACTCATTGGCCTGATAGGTGTATTGTGTCCCAATTTGGTGTCAATTCGTCCAGTGTTTTTTGAGTTATGTTAATCCCACAAACGAACATTACATTTTTATTTATGTTGATAATGATCCAATATAATACTGTAATAATAATATAATTATCTATAAACATAATAAAAGTGAATGTGTGTATATGTGTGTATGTGGCTAGGGTATCCACTTTCACAGACAGGCTCCCACCTCCACAAACAGCTATTATCCCAATCTAGGACGAGCCACCAATGGCCCTCCCTCCAATGACATTGCAGGTTATAGCGAGCGCTGTAAACATGTACAAGAGCCCTGTCAATGTCCTCCACAAACACCACACTGCACTCTGAAACCCACCAAGCATGGACCTAACTTGGGGGAGCATGGACCATGGATGATGGGATTTGCAGTACCTTGATCTGATTTGGTTCCACAGACCATCGCGACCTCCACAAATGACGGACCTGGACCAAACTTGGCATGTAAACACCCCACTTTACATCCTGGTGCCATTTTGGGCAGGATGGACCACGGATGATAAGATTTGCAATACTGTCACTTGCTTTCGCAGAGCACTGTGACCCCCATGAACGATGGATCAGGACCAAACTTGGTACACAGAACCCCCATGACCAACAGAACATACTGGAGGTTTGTGGGAGGACCCATCTGAGTAGGAGTTAGTTCACCCTTCATCCAGAGATTGCTCTGAAGCCCAGCAATGATACATTACCAAACTGTTATTCTCTAACATCCAAACAAAAACAATGCCTTTTTCAAATAACCCTGGCATCACTGAGTCCCAAAGCTAGTGTACTAATATTAATAATAATATACAATAATACTAGTAGCAAGATGAGCTCTGACCCGGAAGCGCTTCTCCTTGTGGGGGGGCTCCTTGCCCTCGAAGGCAGCAGCGGCAGCTCTAGAGTTGACGGTGGCAGCAGTGGAGGAGAGCAGGCGCCCGCTTCCAATCCGCCGCCCATTTTCCAGCGGGCTCCCAGAGCGGCGTGACCCTGAGGTCAGGGTCGCTGAGGTTGCCGCTGTGGAAGCTGGGGTTGTGACATGGCAGCCGCCCCCGAAGCTCCGCCTCTGAGGGCTCAGCACCACCTCCAGGTCCTCCTCCTTGACCCGTTCCCGGGGGTCTGCCAAAGGAAAGGAGATGGTAGAAAATCAAATATAATATAATCAGAATAGTAATACATAAATAAAAAATAAATAACAATAAACTTCATTTCTTATTATTTTTACTACTAGTATTAGATATATTTAAATATTGACTATTTGATTCTGGGGTAAATATTTTATTTAAATATTATAGATTATATTTCAATATTGATTATTTCAATATGAAATATGTCATTCATATGTATTTTATTTAAATGTTATATGTTATATTTATATATTGATTATAAATATTACAAATATTTATATTGTATTATGTATTATATTATATATATTTTATATTTTATTTTATTGCATTATTATATATTATATTTAAATATTAAATAGTCCATTCAGATGTAAATATTTATTTACTACTCCAAGGCGACTTGGAGCGGTTAACAATAGGCAACAATTCAATGCCAGAGCAGTTACAACAAAATAAAACAATCATTAATACTTTAAAATACTATCCACAATATAAAAACATATACATCATACACAGCATTTAAAAACATTATCAAAGTGTCTCCATCTCAAATCATTATCCAGTTGCGTCGTCGGTTGTCCATAATATCATATATCTATGCCATATTTGGGAAGGCCTGTTTGAAAAGCCAGAAGGACAGGAGAGAGGGGGCCGATCTTACCTCTCTAGGCAGGGCATTCCACAGCTGAGGGGCTACCGCTGAGAAGGCCCTGTCTCTCATCCTCATCAGACGCATCTGTGAGGAAGGCGGGAACGAGAGCAGGGCCTCCCCAGAGGATCTTAGCATTCTAGATAGTTCATAAGGAGAGATACGTTCGGATATTATGTATTTTATTTGAATATTTAATATTTTATTCAGATGTAAATGGTTTATTTAAATATCATATATATTTAAATATTATTTTCTTTCACAAAGCAGAGCCAAATCAGCTCCTTGGTTCTTCAGGTAGCTGGTGGCGATGGAGTAATTGAAACAGAAACTACAACAGTGTTGGCGTAAAAGTCACAGAGTCCGATCGAGCACAGTCTAGAGCTCATTCAAAAGTGGTAATTAAGGCGGCAGAAAAATCATTTATAGCCACCAACATTGCATCCGCAAAGATCAGCCGGAGAGAGCTGTTTCACCCCTGATCAATCGGCAGCTCATTGTGAGGAGTTTGCAAGGTTCTGTTCAGGAGGTTGTTCAGGTCCTGAACCGGTGTTTGGTAGCTGTGACAGTCTGGATGAGGATGAACAAACTGAAATCGAATCCAGACAACACAGAGGTCCTCCTGGTCAGTCACAAGGCCAAACAAGGTATAGTGTTACAGCCTGTGTTGGACGGGGTTACACTCCCCCTGAAGACGCAGGTTCACGGCCTGGGAATTGACTATAAATAGAAGGTCAGCTGCTGTCCTCACCTTTTTGCCTTGTTTTTTTTACTCGTGTTCTATTTTGAAATGGTCATATGACTGGTCAAATAAATAAATATTATTATTATTACCTGGCCTCATAACTGAACCTTGGGTTTCAGCGGTTGCCAGAGGAGCCTTCACACAAATAAAACTTGTGCATCAGTTGCGCCTGTACCTTGGGAAGTCAGACTTGGCCACGGTAGTCCATGCTCTTGTGACATCTTGCATTGACTACTGCAACATGAACACTAGTCCAACGGGCAGCAGTCGGATTTCTAACTGGGATGGCGTACAGGGAGGATACTACTCCTCTGTTATGTCAGCTCCACTGGCTGCCAGTCTGCTATCGAACCCAATTCAAAGTGCTAGTCTTGGCTTATAAAGGTCTAGTCCAACTTACCTGTCTGAACGTATATCCCTCTATGAGCCTACAAGAACGGCTGGGGAGGTCCTGCTCTCTGTCCCAACCTCTTCGCAAGCGCAATTGGTCAGGACAAGAGACAGGGCCTTCTCAGTGGTGGCCCCTTCAGCTGTGGAACTCCCTCCCCAGTGACATCAGGCACTTCCTTGCACCTCCGGATGACGACTCCCAGCAGCCCTGGATGGCGGCATGCCTTGGATGACAGGGAACTACGGCTCCCAGAATGCCTCAGCAAACATATCCAAGGCACGCCGCCACCCAGAGCTGCTGGAAGTCGTCATCCAGAGGCACTTCCTTGGGCCTAGGCAAGCCCAGTGGCCTTCGGAGGTGGTGAGCATCAAGGGTGGAGGAGGTCCTTGAAAGAAGAGAGGCGGGGGCATAGTGTTGGAAGAGGGGTAGTCTTAAATGGCAAATATATCCCTAACTCTGTATGTTATCTTTAAAAGTTGGGGGGTCGTCTTATACCCCCAGTTGCCTTGAATGCCGGAGAATAAGGTACTAAATATTTTATGTAAATATTACATTCAGATTTAAATATTTTATGTAAATATATATATATTTATAAACTGAAAATTTTATTCAGATTTAAATATTATATTTCAACATTGAATATTTGATTCAGATGTAAATATTTTATTCCAATATGATATATTATAGTTAAATGTTGGGTCTTTTACCAACGATCCTGCGCATAAGAGAAGTTTCCGGGTCCTTCTTGGGCCTTTCTTCGACCGGTGAGGTCCGCCCTGAATTCGGGTATAAGGAAGCGTGCCATTTCTCCGGGTCCCAAACGCCATCGCTGCAATTAATGATTAGTCATTAGTTTCAATAATAATAACCAAAATGCATCCTTACTGTTCCTTTCGTTTTTGAAAAATATCGGGGAAAGCTGATGCTGCTTGAAAACCTTCCAGTGAGAATGAAGGAGGAGGGATATGAAGAATTCAAAAGATTATAAATATTATAAATATAATATATATATTTAAAATATAACACATTATATATAATATTATATATTTCAGATTATATTTAAAGAATGAAGTTATGTTATTGTATTATATAATTTTATATTTATATCATATTTATATTATATAATATAAGGCATTGCCTCCAAGATGGTGAGATAACAGATTATATGTATATTTATACTATATTTTTATAGAAATATTTTATTACATTATATTAACATTATATTTATATTGTATTATATCTTATATTTGTATATTTATTATATATTTTTATATTCACATTATCTTACTATTAATATTTTAATATATTATTATATTACAGGAGTATATAAATATACTCAAATTATACATTATACTAGCCGTCCCTTGCCACACATTGCTGTGGCACTGTCTGTGTATATGTGTATATGCGTTTTGTGTATATATGTGTGTTTGCATATATATATGTGGTTCTGTACATGCGTTGTAATGTGTTTTTTTTAATTTTTAAGACTCTTCTGCTGTGTTTTTCAGTGTTTTTATGAGTGATGGTCACTTGTTGGCCTGATAGGTGAATTGGGTCCAAATTTGGTGTCAATTCGTTTTTGACTTATGTTAATCCCACAAACGAACATTACATTTTTATTTATATAGATACTAGCTGTCCCTTGTCATGCGTTGCTGTGGCCCATCTGATGATCTGGAAAATAAAGTAATGAGAAGGTGTTGGTTTGTAATATATGTAATGTTTTGTTGCTTGTGGGTAAACAGTATTTCTTGTTGTTTCTTTATCAGTGTTGATGTAGAGATCATATGGTTTGCCTATTCTGGAACATGTAACATATCACTGTCCTTCTTTAGGGGTCCCTTTCAAATCTATGATAATATATCTATCATATACATATATGTGTTTGTGTGTTTATCATATATATCTATGGTTGGATGTCTCTTTCTCAGGAGGGCTTTGATTGTGTTTTCTTGCCCTGGTGAAGGGAGTTGGACTGGATGGCCCTAAGGCACCATTTCTCAACCTGGGGGTCGGGACCCCTGCGGAGGTCATAAAGGGGTGTTAGAGGGGTCACCAAAACCATCAGAAAACACATGGTGGTTCTGTGTGGGAAGTTTACCCCAATTCTGTCATTGGTGGGGTTCAGAATGCTCTTTGATTGTAGGTGAACTATAAATCCCAGTAACTACCCAAACTCCTCAAAGAGGGAGGACCTGAGCTGACACAACAACTCCACCGGCTCATAGAAAAAGTGTGGGTGACTGAGAAAATCCCAGCAGATTTCTAGGATGCCACTATCATCACCCTCTTCAAAAAAGCGGGAAAGAACAGACTGCGGAAATTATCGAGGTATCTCCTTTCTAACCTCCCCTGCAAAAATCCTCGCAAGAATCCTTGCAAACCGCCTTCTGCCCCTCTCAGAAGACACCCTCCCAGAATCCCAGAATGGCTTCCGCCCTTCCAGAGGAACAGTGGACATGATCTTCACTGCACGACAGCTCCAAGAAAAATGCAGGGAACAAAACCAACCTCTGTACATGGCATTCATTGACCTTGCAAAGGCATTCGACACAGTGAATCACAGCGCTCTCTGGACCATCCTCCAAAAAATCAGGTGCCCTGACAAATTTGTGAACATCCTATGGCTCCTCCATGATGACAACAGACTTGGACAGCAGTGGATCCCAAAGTGACTCATTTAAGGTAGAATCAGGTGTCAAACAGGGATGTGTTATTGCCCCAACTTTGTTCTCCATCTTCATCGCTATGATACTTCATCTTGTTGATGGGAAACTTCCCACCGGAGTGGAAATCATCTATCGGACAGATGGCAAGCTGTTTAACCTCAGCAGACTGAAAGCCAAAACCAAGGTTACAACATCATCTGTTATAGAACTCCAGTATGCTGATGACAACATTGTCTGTGCAAATTCAGAAGAAGATCTACAAGCCACTCTAAACACCTTTGCAGAAGCATACGAGAAGCTCGGCCTGTCATTGAACATCGAGAAAGTGCTCTTCCAGCGGTCACCAGCCAACCCCTTTCCAATGCCAGAAATACAACTTAATGGTGCAACATTAGAAAACATTGACCATTTCTGCTCCCTTGGCAGCCACCTCTCCACCAAAGTCAACATCGACACCAAAATACAATACCGCCTGAGCTCTGCGAGAGCAGCATTTTTCAGAATGAAGCAGAGAGTGTTTGAGGACCGGGACATCCGTAGGGATACCAAGGTGCTTGTCTATAAAGCTATTGTCCTCCCAACCCTGCTATATGCCTGCGAAACGTGGACTGTCTACAGACGTCACATGCAACTCCTGGAACGATTCCATCAGCGCTGCCTCCGGAAAATCCTGCAAATCTCTTGGCTGCAGAATTTGAAGAGGCACGAATGGAGGGTGAAAGAGAGAAACGTGCCAAGAGGAAGGCGCGTCAAGCCAACCCCGACCGGGACCGCCTCCCACCTGGAAACCAATGCCCTCACTGTGGAAGAAGATGCCGATCAAGAATAGGGCTCCACAGCCACATACGGACGCACAAGAATTCTGATTCTGTAAGACTATCCTACTCGGCCAACGAGAGATTGCCTAAGTAAGTAAGCAAGAACTATAAATCCCAGTAGCTACAAGTCCCAAATGTCAAGGTCTATTTTCCCCAAACTCCATTTTTGTTTATATTTGGCCATATGGAGTATTGGTGCCAAGTTTGGTCCAGATCCATCATTGTTTGAGTCCACAGTGCTCTCTGGATGTAGGTGATCTACAACTCCCAAACTCAAGGTCAATGCCTACCAAACCCTTCTAGTGTTTTTTGTTGGTCATGGGAGTCCTGTGTGCCACGTTTGGTTGAATTCCATCATTGGTGGAGTTCAGAATGCTCTTTGACTGTAAGTAAACTATAAATCCCAGCAACTCCAACTCCCAAATGACAAAATCAATATTTTTGATTTTGGGTTAGTAGGTGTCTTGTGGCCAAATTTGATGTCAATTCCCCCAGTGAATTTGGAGTTATGTTAATACCACAAATGCACATTACATTTTTATTTATATAGATATATATGTGCGTGTGTTTATATGTATGCATACGTGTGTATATATTTGCAGACATGAAACAATCTGGGCTAGGGAACTCCTCCCACCAGAGGTTTTCCGCTGGCTAGTAGAAGCCAGGCTTTTAAGGTGCAAGGTTATTCAAAGGTAATCCAGGTGGGCAATTGCACATTCACACATGGCTCAAGTAGAAATAATTTATTTTTCCCACTCTGGACCTTTCACATCTCTATAAATAGAAGCCACTCACAGAATGGTAAAACATCGGCATGATGCATGGGGAACATCCATGGAGATGGTGTATTGTCTCACTCCAGAAGCGACGTGTAGTCTCTCTGGGTTTGGGAGATATGAGGTTCCCCATAAACGGACAGAATGTCTTTAGCAGTGTTTCTAAACTTGATTAATGCCACGACCCCTTAATACAGTTCATCATGTTGTGATGACCCCCAACCATAATACTATTTTTGTTGCTACTTCATAGCTGTCATTTTGCTACTGTTCAGATGGCCACAGAGACTCTGCTTAATAATAATAAGATTAATAATAATAGTAATAGAATGCTAGAGTAGGGAGAACTCCAAGGTCCACCCAGTCCAATCTCCTTCTGCCATAAGGGAAAAACACAATCCAAGCACTCCTAACAGATGACCATAGAGACTCTGCTTAATAATAATAAGATTAATAATAATAGTAATAGAATGCTTGAGTAGGGAGACCTCCAAGGTCCATCCAGTCCAACCTTCTTCTGGCATAAAGGGAGAGGCACAATCAAAACGCTCCTGATAGATGGCCACTTAGACTCTCCTTAATAATAATAATAATAATAATAATAATAATAATAATAATAGAATCCTGGAGTAGTCGGGTGGTATGGAAAATAAAGTAATGAGAAGCAGCCAGGGCTTGAAGCTGCAAGGCTTTTCAGTGATATTCATGATCGCCAAAACACTCAAAAAAGCCTCTTTGAAACAGGGGCTGGGTGGCCATCTGTCTGGGGTGCTTTGAATATGATTGTCCTGCTTCTTGACAGAATACGGTTGGCCTGGATGGCCCACTACGTCTCTCCCAACTCTAGGGCTCTCTGTTTCTATATTCTTCTCTTCCCTTCACCAGTTTCCCCCTTTCTTTCTTTGTTCCTTCCCTTCCTCTTCCATTCCTTTCCTCTCCCATCCCTGCCTCTTTCCCTTCCTTCTTTTCCTTCCATTCATATTCTTCTCTTCACCAATCCTTTCCTTCCTTTCTTCTCTATGTTCCCTTTCTTTCCTTTCCTTCCTTCCTTCATCTTTCTTTCCTTCTCATACCCACCATATTCTTATCTTCCCTTCACCAGTCTCCCCCTTTCTTTTCTTCCTTCCTTCGTCTCTCCTTTCCCCTCCTTCCTTTCCTCTCCCATCACTGCCTCCTTTCCCTTCCTTCCTCTTTCGACTTTGCCTTCCATTCATATTGTTCTCTTCTCTTCTCCAAATCTTTTTCTTCCTTTCTTCTCTCCTTTCCCTTTTTTCCTTTCTTTCCTTCGCCTTACTTTCCTTCTCCTTTTCATTCCCATCATATTCTTATCTTTCCTTCACCAGTCTCCCCCTTTCTTTTCTTCCTTCCTTTCTTCGTCTCTCCCTTCCTCTCCTTCCTTTCCTCTACCATCCCTGCCTCCTTTCCCTTCCTTCCCCATTCTACCTTTCCTTCCATTCATATTCCTCTCTTCACCAATCCTTTTCTTCCTTTCTTCTCTCCTTTCCCTTTCTTTCCCTTCTTCCTCCCGGGGCAGTTTATAAGGGTTTTTTAAGGGATTTTTGGGGGGGGGGTGGTGGAAGGGGGGATGTGGAGCCCAAGTGGGGGAATTTGCATCCTCCCTTCGCCCAACGGGTCCCTGCGGGGAGGGGGGGAGGGCGGTGGGCAGCCGATCGTGAAGCCAGGCTTGCCTTGCAATACTCCGGTTTTGGGAGAAGGGTTGCCTGGGGGCCACTTGGGCTTCATGGAGCCGCTGTGGTGGCTCCAGCTGCTGCCGGGGCTTGCCTCGCCAAGTCTCCACACCCTCCGTAAGGCTAGGCTTCCTCCTTCCTTCCCTCTTTCCTTTCCCTCCCCAAAAGAAAGCGGACTCTGCCTTCGTGCACAGAAAGGGACTCCATAGCTAGGCTTCTCTTCCCTCACAACAGTTGGTGTGTTATTCTTCTTGCGCGCTGGAGAGGGGGGCTTTTGTGCATGCTCTGTAAAGTATTTTTCTTTTTGGGGAGTTTTACATTATTTCCCCTTCATTTTTAAGGGGTTTTTTGTTTGAAATATATAGATTGGATTAGTATGTGTTTTGCTGCCAAATTTGGTGTCAATTTGTCCAGTGGTTTTTGAGTTATGTTAATCCCACAAACGAACATTACATTTTTATTTATATAGAACAGCCATCCCCTGCCATGCGTTGATGTGGCCCAGTCTGTATATATGTGTTTTGTGCATGTATATATGTGTTTATGTGTGTGTATAAATTTGTGTATATATGTGTTTGCATATATATATACATGTGTGTGTGTATATTTATATGTGTGTATACATGTGTGTATATATTTGTGTATTTCTATATTGTGTATATGTGTGTGCTTGTGTATTTGCATATATGTGTGTATATATGTGTGTGTGTATGTATATGTATATGTGTATATTTATGTTTGCTTGCATATGTTTGTGTGTGTCCGTATGTATGTGTATATGTATATATGGTTTATTTTTGGGGAATTTAATGTCCGTACTGCTGGTTTTGTGTGTGTGTTTTAGGGGTGATGGACACTTGTTCGACTGTTAGGTGTATTGTGTTAAATGTTTGTGTCAATTCATCTAGTGCTTTCTGAGTTTTGTTTCTCTCACAAATGAACATTACATTTTTATATATATAAAGATTATAATCTTTATATTAACTGCGCAGAGGTGAGAACCACCTAATCTGGGCTTTACAGGCCAATGGAGACTCCACCTCAGACATCAGAAAAGCTGCAAGACCGAGAACAAGCCATGAGAATAAAGACGAAGATCCACCCAGAGGAAAAGTGTTCTTGCCATACATCAAGGGAACCACTGACCGCATAGGGAAGCTGATGAGGAAACACAACATACAAACTATCTACAGACCCACTAAGAAAATCCAACAAATGCTACGTTCAGCAATGGACAAGAGGGATCCTCTCACCTCTGCAGGAGTCTACCGTACACCATGCAGCTGTGGACAAGTCTACATAGGGACCCCCAAACGCAGCGCCCAAACATGAATCAAGGAACATGAAAGGCACTGCAGACTACTTCAACCAGAGAAGTCAGCCATAGCAGAGCACCTGATGAACCAACCTGGACACAGCATATTATTTGAGAACACAGAAATGATGGACCACTCTCAGAACCACCATGTCAGACTACACAGAGAAGCCATTGAAATACACAAGCATGTGGACAAATTCAACAGAAAGGAGGAAACAATGAAAATTAACAAAATTTGGCTACCAGTATTTTAAAAAAACCTCTAAAAATTATAACAGCAAAACAACACCCAAACACAGGGAAACTCCAGAGAGGAAACAATCACCTCTCAACAAAGGATTGCCCCAGGCACTAACAAGCCACACCAAACAACTGCCAGGCCATCAAATGCTAATCAAGGTGGTCAGCTTGAAACATTCACACCTAGCTCCAGCAGACAAAGAGTTCTTTGTCCCACCCTGGTCATTCCACAGATATATAAACCCATTTCCAACAGACCTCACAACCCCTGAGGATGCTTGCCATACATGCAGGCGAAACGTCAGGAGAGAATGCCTCTAGAACATGGCCATGTAGCCCGAAATACCTACAATAACACAGTGATTCCAGCCATGAAAGCCTTTGACAATAAAATTAAAATCACATTGTAATTTGAAAGTGAAATACCTGTCGTATTTTTCCAAGAGGCAGGAAGGCCTCCGTTTCGAGAAGGGGCGCTCCTTGATGTCCAGCAGCTCTTCCTACACAAATAATAATAATAAATTATTATATTACAAAATGCATAAAATGTAAAGGTTTATACTGCATATATATAATTTGTTCAATTATTTCTGATTGAGGAAGTGCATAAAAATAGAATATTATACTGAGTTTATATATATATATATATATATATATAATTTCTGATTGAAGAAATGCATAAAATATACTGTGATACACACATATCTAAAATTATTTCTGCTTGAGGAAATGCAGAAAACTATATTAATATATATATATTACAATATTATACTGTTTTATAGATATACAGATGAGTGTAATAATAATATATTATAGTGTTTTATATATATACACACAGAGACATATCTATACATATAAATAAAATATTTTAATTATTTCTGCTTGAGGAAATAAACAAAAGAATATATAATTTCTGCTTGAAGAAATGCATAACAACATATATATATTTAAATTATCTCTGATTGAAGAAATGCATAAACATATTAATATAAAATCATACTGTGATCTATTGATAAACATATCTTCTATCTATCTATAAACATAAAAGTGAAAATCACACAGATAGCATCCCGCCTCCACAAACAGGCTACAGTTCCCAGTGCTGAGGAGCCTCCAAAGGCATTCCCTCCAAGGACATTGCAGGTTATAGCGGGTGCCATGAACATGTAGCCCAACCCCCGCATCCAAGTGAAGGCTTTCATTCAGGGACAATTCCATCCTACATGTTCTGTTTTTCCTCCAGAATGCACATCTCAATTGTTCCCTACTCTTTCCATTGCTGTGGAATTTGCATGACCCCACCCGCTGCCTCTCCCTAAACCCTTTCCTACTCTTTTCTATGGAACACAACAAACAGAGGAACTGATTAGCAACTGAACATACTTGAGAGGTTTGGGGAGAATTCACCATGATTTCTAGGAGTCGTAGGTACTGGGATGTATAGTTCATCTGCAATCTAAGAGCACTCCAAATTCCACCAACGATGGACCTGGAACTAACTTGCCACACAGAACCCTCATGACCAACAAAACATACTGGAGGGACTTTATAGGAGTTGTAGGTCACCTACATCCACAGTGCACTATGAGCCCAAACAACAATGGGTCTGGACCACACTTGGCATGCATACCCAATATGCCCAATTTTAGATAATATTATAACATATTATAATACATTATATTACAATATAATTAAAATACAAGACTGCATTGTCTGACCTTTATATATAATATATAATAATATAATTTAATATTTCATTGCATTATAACATAACAGATTATAAAATAACATTATATTACATTTGGCAATTCCAAAACAATCTCCTGACATGGTAAAACTGAGAACCCAGGACGGCGGTCCCTCTAGATTAAAGGTGTTGTTGTTAAATGCCAGGTCTGTCAATGGAAAAACAACTACCATCCAAGATTTAATTCTTAACGGATGAGCACACCTGGTGCGTATAACAAGAGTCCTGGCTGGATGAGGCTGGAGGGGTCAATCTTACCCAGCTTTGCCCACCAGGATTCTCTGTGCAACATCAGCCAAAATATGGAGGGCGGGGAGGCAGGGTCACAGTGGTTTATTGAAATACCATCTCCTTGACCAGGTACCCCATCCCACAGTCAACCATGTTTGAATATGTCCACCTGAAGGTAGGTGACCGGGACAGAATAGGAATTCTGTTAGTGTACTAACCACCCCTACCTGAGCTAACTGGGGTGGTCTCAGGCCTGGCGCTGGAGTCCCAGCGGCTTATAGTAAAGGGGGACATCAACGTCCATGCAGAGTCCACCCTATCAGGAGCAGCTCAGGACTTCATGTCTTCTATGGCAACCAAGGGACTGTCCTAATTAATATCTGGTCCTACTCACTGTGCTGGATACACATTAGAGCTGATTTTCTGTCAGGGATGGGAGGAAGGTGGTGGTGTGGAGGAGATGACGATCTCTTCATTGCCATGAACCGCCCACTACCTGATCAAGTTTAGGCTTGCTGCACCCCCTAACCTCTGTAGGGGTGAAGGAGCCACCCCAGGAGGCTTATGGATTCCTAACAGTTCATGGGGACTTTCCTACTGCCTCGGTAGGTGATCCTGTCGAAGCTCTGGTCACACTCTGGAACAGGGAGATGGCTAAGACAATAGACATGACTGCTCCAGAACACCCCCTCTCGAGTAGCAGAGCTAAACCTTCTCCTTGGTTTAAAAAGGAGCTGGCAGTGATGAAGCGAAAGAAGAGGAGACTAGAGTGCGTGTGGCGTACAAAGCCTAGTGAATCAAACCAAACACGGTTGTGCCTACCTAAGGGCATATGCCGCGGCAATAAAAGATGCACATAAATCTTTCTTTGCAGCCAATACTGTGTCCGCAAGGAACCATCCGGCGGAGCTGTTCCGAGTAGTCAGAGGGTTGTCAAATCCCGTCTCCCAAGACGGGATCTCTGACAACGCAGTAGCCCATTGTGAAGCATTTGCTCACTTCTTTGCAGATAAAGTCACTTTTATTTATTTATTTAAAACATTTATACCCCGTCCTTCTCAACCTCCACGGAGGGACTCAGAATGGCTTCCAAACAGGCAACAATTCGATGCCAAACATAATATAAAACACATAATACATCCACAAAATTAAAGTAATTCTAAATATGCATTAAGAACCCGCTCACCAGATTTAAATCACCAGAGCTTTGATCTGCTCTAGCTTGGATTCCATGTTAATGTAACATGAGCACCTGCTTGTCCAGTTTTGATGGATTCATTTCTATTGGTGCGGCTCAAGGATATGGACAAGATCCTTGAACAGAGTGATCACATGCATCCTAGACCCCTGTCCATCCTGGCTGATAAAAAAGCCGGGGGGGGGGGGCAAGGTGGGTGAAGGTGGTGGTGAATGCCTCCTTACAGGAAGGCAAGATTCCAGCCAGCTCAAAAGAAGCCATCATAAAATCACTGTTGAAGAAACCATCACTGAACCCCACCCAATTGAACAACTTTCTGAACGTATGTCCTGCTATGAACCATCGCGAAGTCTAAGATAGATGGGAGAGGCTCTGCTCTTGGTCCCACCATCCTCGCAAACGTGACTGGTGGAGACGAGAGACAGGGCCTTCTCAGTGGTGGCCCCTTGCCTGTAGAACTCTCTCCCAGGTGACATTAGGTTGGCCACCTTCCTCTTGTCCTTTAGAACGAAACTCATAACCTGATTATGGGACCAAGCATTCTAACAGTAGAGGCAGCAATTTAGAATGAGACCAAATTTGTGTGAATGACAGTGGACTGACCTGGACTATGATTTCAAACCTGCGTGATTTAAACAATGTTTTAATAATTTTATATTTTAATTGCTTTTATCATTTATTACTGTTGTTGGCATTGAATGAATGCCTGTTGTGAAGCCATCCTGAATCCCCCTTCGGGGGTGAGAAGGAGGAGATACAAATATGCTAAATAAATAACCAAATAAATATTACAATATAATTGCAATATAAGACTGCACTGAATGATCTTTATATATAATAACAATTATTTTATTGAATATAATGTAATAACATTATAATATAACATTTTATTATATTACAATATAATTACAACATAATATTGCATTGACTGACCTTTATATGTAACAATATAATAATATAATATTTATATATAGCATACTATAGTATAATATTATATTCTATTTTATTGCATTTTAATATAACATATAATATCGTATTATATTACAATTTAATTACAATGTAATATAGTAAGACTGCATGGACTGACCTTTGTGTAGCGATGGGGGAACCTCATGAGGTCATGCATAGGGTCGCCTCCATTCACAGTGTTGTTATCCATCACTCTTTGGCCTGAGAATTAATACAAATAATAATTATTAATAACGGAGTGGGAAAATGCAATTAAAAGCATAAAACTCAAAAGGCCCTTTTACTAATTTAGTAATATAATAAAATAATGTGATAAATATTATAAGAATGCAATGCAATAATAATATGTAAAATGGAATAATAGTATAATGTGATGATACAACAATAATAATATCAAATATTAGATAGAATAGAGTAGTGTTTCTCAACCTTCCTAATGCCTCAACCCCTTAATACAGTTCGTCATGTAGTGACCCCCAACCATAACATTATTTTCATTGCTACATCATAACTGTAATTTTGCTACTGTTCTGAATCGTCATGTAAATATCTGACATGCAGGATGTATTTTCCTTCACTGAACCAAATTTGGCACAAATACTCGATACGTTCAAATTTGATTGCTGGTGGGGTTGGGGGGGGGGTATTTTGACATTTGGGGATTGTAGTTGCTGGGATTTATAGTTCACCTACAATCAAAGAGCATTCTGAACTCCAACAATGGAATTGAACCAAACTTGCCATACAGGACTCCTATGAGCAACAGAAAATACTGGAAGGGTTTGGTGGGCATTGACCTTGAGTTTTGGAGTTGTAGTTTAACTACATCCAGAGAGCACTGTGGGCTCAAACAAAGATGGATCTTGACCAAAGCTGGCATGAATACGCAATATGCCCAAATGTGAGCACTGGTGGAGTTTGGGGAAAATAGACCTTGATGTTTGGAAGTTGTAATTTATGGGATTTTTGGTTCACCTACAATCAAAGAACGTTCTGAAACCCACCAACGAGAGAACTGGGCCAAACTTCCCACACAGAACCCCTATGACCAACAGATAATACTGTGTTTTCTGATGGTCTTTCGTGACCCCTCCAGGGGTCCCGACCCCCAGGTTGAGAAACACTGGAATAGAGGAATGTAAAGTAATAATAGAATGATTATTCTATTATAAGGGCTGGCTTTAGCACAGCAGGTTAAACACCAGCTGTGATCAATCTTGTCAGTCAAAAGGCTGCCAGTTTGAAGCTAGGTCAGTTTGAGCTCCTGGCCTTTAGCCCAGCTTCTGCCTACCTAGCGGTTAGAAAGCAAAAATGTGATTAGATAAATAGGTACTGCTCATTAAAAAGCAGGGAAGGTATTCTGAGACACCCAAAAAGAATGCCGGTGATTCAACCCACAAGGAGGAAGTCACAAACTAGCTCTTTGGTAGGGAGATGGAGCAACAGCACAACCCGCGCCCGCCCGCCGTGGCCAGAACTGAGCAAGATGCCGAAAGATGGGGAAAGCCAATAAATATACCTCTTTTCTAATTGTCTGTCTAGCTGTGTATAAAATGGCACTGAATGCTTGCCGCATATGTATGTTCTGTGATTCATCCTGAGTCCCCTTCGGGGTGAGACGGGCGGAATATAAATACTGTTTTAAACAACTGATTTTAAAGTAGATATAACTGATTTTCGTTTTGTGTATATTTATAGTTATTTTATTTCCTGGCATGGAATGCTTGCCATATATATGTTGTCCTCTGCCCTGAGTTCCCTTCGGGGTGAGAAGGGCCAAACATAAATGTTTCAAATAAATAAATCCACAAACAAACAAACAAACAAACAAAATGATAATATGTAATACAATTTTAAAAGGTAAATGTTTCCCCTTGACATGAATTCTAGTCTTGTCCGCTTCAGGGGGCAGGGGCAATGTGATCATCTCCATTTCTAAGCCAAAGAGCCACCATTGTCAGTAGACACCTCCAAGGTCATGTGGCTGACATAACTGCATGGAGCACTGTTTACCTTCCTGCCAAGGCAGTACCTCTTGATCTACTCACATTTGCATGTTTTTGTACTGCTAGGTAGGCAGGAGCTGGGGCTAACAGCAGGAACTCACGCTGCTACCCAGACTTGCGCTGCTGACCTTTCAGTCAGCAAGTTCAGCAGCTCAGCGGTTTAACCCACTGCGCCACCGAGGGCTCCTATATAATACGATTTAGTAATATAATAATAGTATAATATAATGTGATAATACAAAATATAATAAGTAATGTAAAATGGAATAATAGCATAATGTGATACCATAATAATAATATAAAATATAAAATATAATGGAGGAATGTAATGTAATAGTAGTAATAATAATTATATAAAATAAAACAATATATATTATTATGTTATTATCACATCACACTATTATATCATTTTGCATTCTTTATTATTCTATTTTAAATTATTATTATTATGGCAATTATCACATCAAACTATTATTCCATTTTACATATTATTATTATTCTGACATTCTTATAACATGATATACTTTATTATATATCATGTTACTAATATAGTAATAGTATAATATAATGTAATGAAATAGAATAATATAAAAATACAATGAAATAATATTAATATATAATGTAAAACGGAATAGTATTAGAATTATTGTATTGACTAAATATTATTATATATAGTTATCCTTGTATTACATTCCATTCCAATATTTTACATTATATATATTATTATACTATTATTCCATTTTACATTATATATTATTATTAATATTATTTCATTGTATTTTTATATTATTCTATTTCATCACATTATATTATTACTATATTACTTAATTGTATTGCATATTATTCTATTTTTTCACATTGTATTACTCCATTTTACATTATATATTATTACTCTATTTTATGTTATAATATTATTATTATGACATCATCACATTACACTATTATTCTGTCTTATAATAATAATATATTAATATGTAAAATATAATATTAGTATAATGTAATAATACCATAAGATAAAATATAATAATAATAATAATAATAATAATAATAGCTTTGAGATGGGCAAGCAGGGGAGGCTCTTCTCTCACTACCGTCTCAAGTGGGGATGGGGGCTTCTCTGTAGTGGCTCTCCGGCTCTGGAATAACCTCCTAAAAGAGATTAGGTTAGTCCCCACCCTTGAATCCTTCCCATCCAGCCTAAAACATGGATTTTTAAGCAGGCTTTTGGCCTCGAGTAGGCTGAAATGGGCCTATATGAGGTTGACACTTTAGGTGTGAATTGATGGTAGCTAGTTTTAACTACAGATGGCCTGCATTTTTAAAATTGTGTTGTTTTATTTTATGTGTTGATAGTGGTTGCTTTTATATTTTTTATGCAATTTTAATACTCATTATCATTTTATGTTATATACTGCACTTGGAGTGCCTTGTAAGCCGCCCCAAGTTCCTTTCTGGGAGAAGGAGGCGGGATATAAATAAAGTTTATTATTATTTATTAGCATTCTTATAATAATAAAATAAGATATTATTAAAATAATATAACATATAATAATATTATAATACAATAATATATAACATAACATGTAAAATGGAATAATGGTGTGTGATGTGATAATACTATAGTAATAATAATTTAATACAGAATAATGTAATAATATAAAATATAATAATGTGTAATGTAAAATGGAATAACATAATATAATGTGATAGAATAATATAAGAACGCAAAGAAATAATAATAATAATAACTAGCTGTACCCGCCACGCTGCTGTGGCCAATCTTCCCTCCCTCTTTCTCTACTTTCTTTCTCTCCTTCCTTCCCTCTTTTTCTTTTCCTTCTTCTTTCTTCCTTCTCTACCTGTTTCTTTTCTTGCTTCCTTTGCTCTTTGGTTCCATCCTCCCTTGTCTCTTACCTTCCTTCCCTCCCTCTTTCTTTCGTTCCTTCTCTCCTTCCTTCCTTCTTTCACTTTTTTATTTCCTTCTCTCTTTCTTTCTCTCCGTTTTTCTCCTTCTTTCCTTCCTTCCCCCTTTCTGTGTATGTGTTTTGAGTGTGCATATATGTGTGTATGTATTCCTGTATATATTTGTGTATATATGTGTTTCTATGCATATGTGGTTTTGCACATGCGTTGTAATGTATTTTTTTTTGCTTTTTAAGTTTCTCCTGCTGTTTTTATGAGTGATGGTCACTTGTTGGCCTGATACGTGTCTTGTGTCCAAATTCGGTGTCAATTTGTCCAGTGGTTTTTGAGTTATGTTAATCCCATAAACGAACATTACATTTTTATTTATATAGATAGAATAATATAGGGTGATAACAACAGAAATACCATTCGAAATCCGAATATATTTTTGTCGTTCCTGACACGACCAAAACAAATCTGAATATATGAAAATGTAATAATAGAATGATAATAATAATGTTCCCTCCAAAACCAGAATAAAATAATTATAGAATAATTACTAATAGTATATAGCAACAATAGAATAGAGGATTATATTAATAATAGAATAGAATTAAAATACAATAAAAGAATAGAATAAAATAAAATAATGTAATGACAATGTATTGTTGAAGGCTTTCATGGCCGGAATCACTGGGTTGTTGTAAGTTTTTTCGGGCTATATGGCCATGTTCTAGAGGCATTCTCTCCTGACATTTCGCCTGCATCTATGGCAAGCATCCTCAGAGGTAGTGAGGTCTATTGGAACTAGGAAAATGGGTTTATATATCTGTGGAAAGACCAGGGTGGGACAAAGGACTCTTGTCTGTTGGAGCCAGGTGTGAATGTTTCAACTGACCACCTTGATTAGCATTTGATTGCCTGGCAGTGCCTGGAGCAATCCTTCGCTGAGAGGTGATTAGATGTCCTTGTTTGTTTCCTCTCTGTCGTTGTGCTGTTCTATAATAATAATAATGGCTATTGGTGTTAATTGTAAATTGTTGTTAATTGTATACTTTTCTATAATATGTTATGATGTTAACTGTTTTTTATACCGTGTTATGGTAGCATTGAATTTTTGCTGCTCTTGTTGTTAACCGCTGTGAGTCGCCTAAGGGCTGAGAACAGCGGTATACAAATAAAGTAAATAAATAAATAAAGTAAATAAATAAATAATATATATATATATAAATAGAATATATATATATATATACACACACACACACACACACACACATATAGAATAGAATAGAATATAAATGGGGTTTATATATCTGTGGAAAGACCAGGGTGGGACAAAGGACTCTTGTCTGTTGGAGCCAGGTGTGAATGTTTCAACTGACCACCTTGATTAGCATTTGATTGCCTGGCAGTGCCTGGAGCAATCCTTCGTTGAGAGGTGATTAGATGTCCTTGTTTGTTTCCTCTCTGTCGTTGTGCTGTTCTATAATAATAATAATAATGGCTATTGGTGCTAATTGTATATTGTTGTTAATTGTATACTTTTCTATAATATGTTATGATGTTAACTGTTTTTTATACCGTGTTATGGTAGCATTGAATTTTTGCTGTTCTTGTTGTTAACCGCTGTGAGTCGCCTAAGGGCTGAGAACAGCGGTATACAAATAAAGTAAATAAATAATAATAATAAATATATAAATAGAATATATATATATATATATATAGAGAGAGAGAGAGAATAGAATATAAATGGGGTTTATATATCTGTGGAAAGACCAGGGTGGGACAAAGAACGCTTGTCTGTTGGAGCTATGACAGAATATATAGAATAGAGTAGAATAACAACAATAAAATAATATAATACTGTATTAATAGCTGAATATAATGGTGGATAATAATAGAACATAGAACATAATAGTAAAATAATAGGAATAGTATTACATAATAATAGAAGAAAATATTAATAATATATTAGAATATTAGTAGAATAGAATAATAATGGTATAATAGATTCTGCTCTTCTTCTGCCTCTTCCCATACCATAGAGCCTACCTGGGCTGTGGTCTAGAGAGGCCCCCTGCGCGGGCGCGCGACCTGCGGGGTCCTCCGGAGCCTGCCCTGGAGCGCTGCTCTGCTTCTGCTTGGCCTTCTGCTCCTCCTTTCTCTTCGGGATCCGCCATCAACCGAAAGAAGGCAGGCAGGAAAGAAGGAAGGAAGGCTCCGCGCCCCGCCCCCCGTCCCCTTTTAATGCCCGCCGCGCAGGCGCCGATGACGGCGGCCTGCCGGGGACACACCGGAAGATCAGGCGCCGTTGGTGGGCAGAAGTCTCCTTTCCGCGCAGGCGCGTCGCTGTCCGCCCCCCCCCCTCCCCGCGCGCTCTTTCGCTCATTCCCTTTGGGCACGCGCAGCACACGCCTCTCGCCTCAGCGTTCTCCCTTTTGCGCATGCGCGTCACTGCTATCGCTTGCTTCCTCGCTCATTCCCCATGCACATGCGCAGCACGGCCCTCATGTCCAAGGGCTTGCCTCTCAGCTGCACACGCGCAGCGTAATCCTGTCCCTCCGCGTTCTGCCTTTTGCGCACGCGCGGCACTGTTTTGCCCCTTCTCTCGCTTCTTCCCATTGCGCATGTGCTCTCGCCTTAGAGACTGAACGCCTCTCTCGAAAGACATCGTGCGCATGCGCAAACTCCCAACCGCTTTCCTATCGAAGGACCCCACTTTTGCATAGCCTTGTTGCCTTTTTCGAGGTGCCCGTCGTGTTCGCCTGACGGTTTCGCCACGTCGCCATAGCAACCCTAGCTAGGTGAAAGCGCGGGTTTTTTTTTTCATAGTGCGGACACGATTGCTAAAGTCTTACTCTAACCACGACAAGTTTCTTGTATAAGGAAAGGGAAAGGGATTTCTTCAGGCGTTTGTGATAGACAGTTGGACTCTCCGAGTTTGAATTCGTTCGAAGGAGGGAGGCCTTGTGAGCTATTTCTCCAATTAAATTAGTATTGGGTTGTTGTAGGTTTTTTCGGGCTGTATGGCCATGGTCTAGAGGCATTCTCTCCTGACGTTTCGCCTGCATCTATGGCAAGCATCCTCAGAGGTAGTGAGGTCTGTGGGAACTAGGAAAAAGGGTTTATATATCTGTGGAATGACCCGGGTCGGACAAAGGACTCTTGTCTGCTGGAGCTAGGTGTGAATGTTTCAACTGACCACCTTAATTAGCATATAATGGCCTGACAATGCCTAGAGCAAACTTTTGTTGAGGTGGTCATTATTATTATTATTGTTATTATTATTGATAGATAGAGGTATGGATACATTATTTAAATATTTTAAAAACAAAATTTTAAACGAATTTAGTAAACCTTTACTAATATTAAAGTGCATTTGTCTTTAATGGTTTAAAGAATAATGTTAATATTACGTATTTTATCATTTTTAAATATTAATTAATATTAATATTTAATTCTTATTAAATATTGTTAGATTGTTACTATGTGTATAAACTGATTCTCCAGTATTGGAGTTCAATATTCTATATTTTATTATTATTAAATATTATTAAAATATTTATTTTATTATTGTTGTTTTTACATTTTAAATCAATTATATTTAATTTATTTGTTTATTATTTTATTTATTATTAAATATTAATAAATGCTTTTAATATTATTTTATTTATTATTATTATTTATCAATATTTTATTGATTCTTATTAATATTGATTATTTAGTAAATGTATTATTATTATTTAATTGTTATTAAATATTATTAGGTTTTTACTATGTATATAAACTGATTCTATATTTATTTATTTATTTCATGACTTGGGGCGGCCTCACACAAGCACCATACAATGTCAACAAGTAAACAATTTGAAGTACAATTAAAGCATTAAAAACCATTAAAACATTAAAAATCATTAAAACCCATTATACAATTCATTAGACAGTAGATTATACATGCCGGTAAAACCAAATCCAAGTCTAGGCAGATTCAGTGTCATAAATATCCTAAATATCTATATGTTTTTATCCTATATATTTATATTTTAAATGTATTTCTACATGATTTAAATTGTTTCTTTCAATAACTTCTTAAACCCTTTAAAAAAACCTTAAGTGATGAAACGATAATTATATTAAAGTATATTATTATAGTTTAATATTATGTATTGGGCCCCCAGGTGGCGTAGTGGGTTAGACCGCTGAGCTGCTGAACTTGCTGATTAAAAGGTTGGTGGTTCGAATTCAGGAAGCGGGGTGAGCTCCCGCTGTTAGGCCCAGCTACTGCCAACCTAGCAGTTCGAAAACATGCAAATGTAAATCGATCAATAGGTATCACTTTGGCAGGAAAGTAATGGTGCTCCATGTAGTCATGCCGGCCACATGACCTTGGAGATGTCTACAGACAATGCCAGCTCTTCAGTTTAGAAATGTAGATAAACACCACCCCCCAGAGTGGGACACAACTAGACGTAATGTCAGGGGAAACCTTTATTTTTTTATTATGTATTTATTATTTTTATTATTTTAATATTTTATTATTTGTTTTATTATTATTATTTAGATGGAGAAAACCTCAAAGAAAAGGTAAGAAAAAGCATTATTTTGTTTATTTAATTTATTTAATGATTTATTTCTCTTACCTGATTGAAGCAATAATTTAAATATTAACATAATATTTTACGTATTAAAATATTTTAAATACTTATAATGTTTTAATATTTCAAGGCCTAAGGTTTTATTTAATGTTTTGTTTGTTCTCATTTATTATTATATTAACATGTATTATTATATTACATTATTATATTTTAATGCATATTTATCATTTTAAGGTATAATTTTAATTTTATACTACATTTCATTATATAATGTATAATTTATGTTATATATTTGAATATTTACTTGTAGTCATTATTTTAGTATTACAGTATTTATTGTTATTAAGAAGTAGACTGTTTTTAATTAAATCCTTATAATGGTTTTTGATTGCTAATATTATGTTTTAAAGCATGTTTTAATTTCTGTAAATATGTGAATATATCTTTATGTAATATATATATGGCATTTGAGGATTAAGTCAATAACCCTTGTCCACATGGAAGGATGGCGATGAATTGTGACTGTATTGACAACTTGGCTTGTGTAATGTGGTGCTGATGATGTTTTTTTATTGTACTTATATTTTAATGTATAATGATGATGCATTGTGCTGTTTTGTATATTACTGTATATGAACACATGTTTTGAACCGGCCTGAGTCACTTGGTTCAAGTCCATCACAACTCCCACGAGGGTAGGTCAGTCCACGCCAAACCCCTCCAGGATGTTCGGTTGGTCACGAAGCACCTGTGTGCCAAGTTTCATAGAATCATAGAATAATAGAGTTGGAAAAGAACTCGTGGGCCATCAATTCCAACCCCATTCTGCCAAGAAGCAGGAAAATTGCATTCAAAGCCCCCCTGACAGATGACCATCCACCCTCTGTTTAAAAACGTCCAAAGAAGGAATCTTCACCACCCTCCGGAGCAGAGAGTTCGACTGCTGAACAGCTCTCACTGTTAGGAAGTTCTTCCTAATGTTCAGGTGGAATTCGCTTTCCTGTAGTTTGAAGCCATTGTTCCACGTTCTAGTCTCCAGGACAAGAGAAAAAAAGCCTGCTTCCTTCTCCGACTTCCCCTCACCTCTTGATCCATGGTCCTCATCAGGTCTTGATCCATGGCCCTCGTCCCCGCCAACCGCCTCGAGTCGCCTCCGGGCTGAGAGGGGCGGTATACAAGTATAGCAAACAAACAAACAAACAAACAAATAAATAAATGTCTCTTCTCAGCTTTCACTTCTGCAGACTAAACATGCCCAGCTCTTTAAACCACTCCTCATAGGGCTTGTTCTCCTGACCCTTGATTATTTTAGTCACCCTCCTGTGGACACATTCCAGCATAGAGTCAACATTTCCCTTCAGTTGCGGTGCCCAGAATTGGACACAGTGTGATTTCAGGTGTGATTCTGCCTTAGGCAAAATAGAGAAAAAAGACTAGCATAACTTCCTTGAATCTAGACACTAAGCTCCTATTTATACAGGCCAAAATCCCATTGACTTTTTTAGCTGCCGCATGACATTGTTGGCTCATGTTTAACTTCTTCTCCACAAGGACTCCAAGACCTTTTTTACGCGTCGTTCTGTTGAGCCAGACATCCCTCCTTTCATTTTTTCTGCCCAAGTGGAGTGTCTTGCATTTGTCTCTGATGAACTTCATTGTATTCATTTTGGCCCATCATCTCTCTAATCTGTTAAGATCGTTTTGAATTCTGCTCCTGTCTTCTGGAATTTTGGCTATCCCTTTCAATTCGGTCCTTTCTGCAAACTTGTTGATCATGCCTTCTCACCCTTCTTCTGTTGTTGTTCATTCGTTCACCTCCCCCAGCTCCTTCAGAATCAAGCCAGTCACTTCAAGGATGCCATCCATCCATCTTGCCCTTAGTCGGCCCCTTTTCCTTTTTCCTTCAATTTTCCCTAGCATAACTGTCCTCTCCAAGCTTTCCTTTCTTCTCATGATGTGGCCAAAGTACTTCAACTTTGTCTCTAATATCCTTCCCTCCAATGAGCAGTCGGGCTTTATTTCCCGAAGTATGGACTGGTTGGATCTTCTAGTGGTTCAAGGCTCTCGTAGAACTTTCCTCCAACACCACAGTTCAAAATCATCTATCTTCCTTCGCTCAGTCTTCCTTATGGTCCAACTCTCACATCCGTAGGCGACTATGGGGAATACCATTGCTTTAACTGTGCGGATCTTCATTGTCAGTGTGATGTCTCTACTCTTCACTATTTTATCGAGATTGGACATTGCTCTCCTACCAAGAAGTAAGCGTCTCCTGATATCCTGGCTGCACTCTGCATCTGCAGTAATCTTTGCACCTAGAAATACAAAGTCTGTCACGGACTTCACGTTTTCTCCCTCTATTTCCCAGTTGTCAGTCATTGTTGTTGCCATAATCTTGGGGTTTTTTTATGTTTAACTGCAACCCAGCTTTTGCACTTTCTTCTTTCACCTTGGTTAGAAGGCTCCTCAGCTTCTCCTAGCTTTCAGCCATCAAAGTGGTATCATCTGCATATATAAGGTTGTTAATCTTTCTTCCAGCAGTTTTCACCCCAGCCTTGCATTCGCCAAGCCCCGCACATCGCATGATGTGTTCTGCATACAAGTTGAATAGGTTGGGTGAAAGTATAGAACCCTGCTGTACGCCTTTCCCAATCTTGAACCACCCTTCCTCTAAGTCAGGAATAAAGATGTTGCACAAACTGGGCCCAGGACGGAACCCTGCTTATGGCACTCCACTCACTTCTTTCCAGGGTGAAGAGGAAGCATTGGGGAGAATTACCCTCTGGGTTCCTTTGCTTAACCAATCACAGATCCACCAAATAATAGCCTTTCTAGGCCCACATTTGGCTGGTTTGTTTGCCAAAAGGTCATGGCGGATCTTGTCAAAGGAAGGCCTTCCTGAAATCCAGATACGCTCCATCCACAGCGTTCCCTGCATCTATCCAGCTTGTAACTATTGAAAAAAGATATCAGATGAGCCTGGCATGACTTCTTTTTGATCAATCCATGTTGACTCTTGGCGATGACCGCATTTGTTTCTAAGTGTTTGTGGACTACTTAATGATCTATTCCAGAATCTTGCTTGGTATTGACGTGAGGCTGACCGGATGGCAATTGTTTGGGATTGTCCTTTTTTCCCTCTTGAAAATAGATAGGAGACACATTTGCCAACGTCCAATCTGCTGGGACTTCTCCAAGAACTTTCAAAGATGGTTGCCAGTGGTTCCTTAACAACTTGTTTCCCTATTTGGGTTTGGATTTCCCCTCATCCTTCATCCACTCCATGTTGCTGAAGTTGAGAATGGCTTTCTTTTTGTGAGAAGACCGAGACAAAGAAGGCATTAAGTTGTTCTCCCTTTTTCCAATCTCCTGTCAGCATTGCCCCATCTTCTCCTTGTTTGGTCCAGATCCATCATTCCTGGGGGTTGCAGAGCTCTGTGGGAGCTGAATCGGGTGAAAGTACTGTGATCCATCTTCCCCCAAACCGCTGCATCATGTATAGTGGGTCATGGGGGGTTTGTGTGCCAAGTTTGGTCCAGGTCCGTCATTTGTGGGGGTTGCAGTGGTCTCAGGAAGTGAGTGAAGGTAATGTAGGTCCCATCATCTGCAGTACATCCTTCCCCCAAATCACATCAGGACGCACAGTAGGTCATGGGAGCTTGGTGTGCCAAGTTTGGTCTTGAACCGTCATTGGTGGGGGTTGCAGTGGTCTGCGGGAGCCTTATTTATTTATTTCGAGCACTTTTACCCCACCCTTCTCAATCTTGAGGGTGGGGAGGGGGGGACTCAGGGCAACTTCCAGTTGGCAACAATTCGATGCCGCATAATAAAATACTGTTTGATTTGCATTGTCCCATAGTTGTAGGAGTTTGATTTGCATTGTCCCATAGTTGTAGGAAATAGCACCCCTTTTGCATTTTTTCCAGGGTTGTTACAGACTCAGCAACACCCTGATAGTTAACCATTGACACAGGCTTGAAGTCAGCCTGCAAAGCCTTTGCTGCTGTTGGCTTGCAAAAGTATCGTTTTGATTTTGAGACCGCCCCTTTTTCCTGGGGATGAAATCTCCATTTTAGAAGCTCTTCTGCCTTCTACAGTATACAGCAAAAGACTCCGATGTGCTTGTGGTCAAGCCAGGCCAGCTCAGACATACCATTGTAAGTACTAACCTCTTGCCTTTAAAACTAGTTCTGAGTTTAGATAGGGAAAGACCTGCTCTTTCTAAAATAGCAACTCAGCACTAGGGCAGAGAATATCCCAGGATTTCTCTGCCATTGGAAGAAGCTCTAACTGCTTTGCCTCCAAGCTGGTTTTGAGTTTAGATAAGGAAAGACCTGCTCTTTCTAGTATAGCAACTCAGGGCTAGGGTAGAGAGTATTCCAGGATTTCTCTACCATTGGAAGAAATTAACTCAGCAGCTGAAGGGAAAAATAAGAAAGGAACATCCACATGGTTTTATAAGTTGACTGTTTGTATTTGTAACCTCAACAAGTTGTGCCAAGCCTGTCAAGGACTTTGAGAAAATAAAAATCTTGTTTGATGTCCAATCTGGAGATGTCTTAGTTGCTGGGACTCCTGATCTTCAAAGTAAGGCTCCCGCGGTCCACCCAGCTAAAGAAAGAAGCACATCATAGTTTCAACCTTAAAGTGCCTAGGTGTGACTGCACAAATACGAAACACCAATAATTATAATAGTTTAAAACATTAAAACAATATACTTGCAGTCTACTGAACTATTACCAGTCTGGTGGCCATTATCTAGCCGAATTCTATGTTTGAGTACTCCATTTAACTTATCCGTAATCCATTTCCAAGCTATTGTCAACATTGTCATTGTCATTTCCGCCTAATCACCCTAAAGCCTGGTCCCACATCCATGTTTTTACCTTCTTTCTCAAGGTGAGGTGGGATGACGATAACCTAATTTCCCTAGTGAGTGAATTCTACAGGCAGGGGGCCACCACCGAGAAGGCCCTGTCCCTCGTCCCTGCCAAGCGTGTTTGAGACAGAGGTGGGGCCGAGAGCAGGGCCTCCCCAGAAGATCTTAAACTCTGAGGTGGGACGTAGAAGGAGATATGTTTGGAGATATGTTTATTAATGACTTAGATGAAGGGTTAGAAGGCAGGATAATGAAGTTTGCAGACGACACCAAATTGGGATAGCCAATACTCCAGAGGACAGGAGCAGGATTCAAAGCCATCTTGACAGATTAGAGAGATGGGCCAAAACTAACAAAATGAAGTTCAACAGGGACAAATGCAAGATACTCCACTTAGGCAGAAAAAACAAAATGCAAAGATACAGAATGGGGGACAATGCCTGGCTCGAGAGCAGTACGTGTGAAAAAGACCTTGGAGTCCTCATAGACAACAAGTTAAACATGAGCCAACAATGTGATGTGGCAGCAAAAAAAGCGAATGGGATTTTGGCCTGCTTCAATAGGAGCATAGTGTCTAGATCTAGGGAAGTCATGCTACCCCTCTATTCCGCTTTGGTTAGACCACATCTGGAATATTGTGTCCAATTCTGGGCACCACAATTCAAGAGAGATATTGACAAGCTGGAATGTGTCCAGAGGAGGTCGACTAAAATGATCAGGAGTCTGGAGAACAAGCCCTATGAGGAGCAGCCTAAGGAGCTGGGCATGTTTAGCCTGAAGAGGAGAAGGCAGAGAGGAGATACGATAGCCATGTATAAATATGTGAGAGGAAGCCACAGGGAGGAGGGAGCAAGCTTGTTTTCTGCTTCCTTGGAGACTAGGACGCGGAACAATGGCTTCTAACTACAAGAGAGGAGATTCCATCTGAACATGAGGAAGAACTGTGAGAGCTGTTCAGCAGTGGAACTCTCTGCCCCGGAGTGTAGTGGAAGCTCCTTCTTTGGAGGCTTTTAAACAGAGGCTGGATGGCCATCTGTCAGGGGTGCTTTGAATGCAATATTCCTGCTTCTTGGCAGGGTTGGACTGGATGGCCCATGAGGTCTCTTCCAACTCTTTGATTCTATGTACGCTATGTATAGATTTTTATCGGTCAAAACCAGCACTTTGAATTGTGCTCGGAATTGGATTGGCAGCCAGTGTAGCTGACATCAATTGAAAGTACTGCAAGACCCACCATCCATGGTCCGTCTTGGGTGGTGGGCAATGTGGTTTTTGTGGAGAACATTGGCAGGGCTCTTGGACATGTTCATGGTGCTCACTATAACCTGCAATGTCATTGGAGGGAGGGCCTTTGGTGTCTCCTTGGCAGTGGGAACTATAGCTGTTTGTGGAAGTGGGAGCCTGTCTGTGAAAGTGGACATCCCAGCCACATACACAGAGCACTGTGTCTCCCACGAATGATGAACCTGGACCAAAGTTGGCACACAGACCCCCCCCCCCATGACCAAGGGAACATAGTGGAGGGGTTTTGAGGGGACTGACCCACCTGCGTGGGAGTTGGGTCCAGGGGGCATTCTGAAACCCAGCAATGATGCATCTGGACCAAACTTGACACAAGGACCCAACATGGCCAACTGTGCATACAGGCGAGGATTGGGTGTGATTGACCTTGGATCTGGGACTTGTAGTTCACCCTTATCCAGAGAGCACTGAACCCAGCCGACAAACGCCCTTGCTAGTCCCCAAGCTATAAATAAATATAATTAAGTATACTATAATAATCACATAATAAAAATATTGTATAAAATAATAATAATAATCTGGCACAAGCCAGTCAAGGTGGTCCCAGTGGTGATCGGCAAACTGAGTGCAGTGCCTAAAGACCTTGGCCTGCACTTAAACACAATCAGTGCTGACAAAATTGCAGAAGGTCACCTTACTGGGATCTGCACGCATTATTCGCCAATATATCACACAGTCTTAGACACTTGGGAAGTGTCCAACATGTGATCCAATACAACAGCCAGCAGAGTGATCTTTTCTGCTGTGGACTCATCTTGTTATGTTTCAAATAACAATAATGTTGATTTTTTTTTATTTTGAAGCGGGAAGCTCCCCAAGTCCCAAAAATCCCATAATGTTAAAGAAGATGGAAGAAATCGCCGGATTTTATATCGCGTTGATTATAACTGGAATCGAGGAGGGCGATTAAAAGAACTGCGCATCAGGTAATATATTATTATTATTATTATATTTATTGTTATTATTATCATACTACCATATATGAACAATGGATTGCTTCCACTTTATTATTATTATATATAATTCTCCTATATTATATTTATTTTAGTACTATTATCATATAGTATTATAATTATATAATGAATATTATTTTATTTTAAGTATTATATATTATATTGTTATGTTATTGAATGTTATGTTATTTCTGTATATACTCGAGTATAAGCCAACCGAAATATAAGCCAAGGCTCCTAATTTTACCACAAAAAACCAGGGAAAAATTATTGACTCAAATATAATCCAAGGGTGGGAATTGCAGCAGCTACTGGTAAATTTCAAAAAGAAAAAGAAATACCAATAAAATTACATGAATTGAGGCATCAGTAGGTTTCATGTTTTTGAATATTTACCATATTTCAAAGACATACAGGAGGGTCAACAAAAACAATATATCAACAATCTATATCTATATCTATATATATATATATATATAAATGCTCTGTGCATAATGAGTACCTTAAAAACAAAAGAACCAATGAACGAAATCACACCAAATTTGGCAACAAAACATCTCACAACACAAGGAGTGACCATCACTCAAAAAATTATGATTTTGTCATTTGGGAGTTGTAGTTGCTGGGATTTATAGTTCACCTACAATCAAAGACCATTCTGAACTCCACCAACGATGGAATTGAACCAAACTTGGCATGCAGAACTCCCTTGACCAATAGAAAACACCAGAAGGGTTTGGAGGGCATTGACCTTGAGTTTGGGAGTTGTAGTTCACCTACATACAGAGAGCACTGTGGACTCAAACAATGATGGATCTGGACCAAACTTGGCACGGAACTCCATATGCTCAAATATGAACACAGTGGAGTTTGGGGGAAATAGACCTTGATATTTGGGAGTTGTAGTTACTGGGATTTATAGTTCACCTACAATCAAAGAGCATTCTGACCCCACAAAGACAGAATGGGGCAAACTTTCCACACAGACCCCCATGACCAACAGAAAATACTTAAGGCCTTCCAATCCAACTCCCTTTATCAGGCCAAGAAAACGTAATCAAAGTCCTCCTGACAAAAAGCCAACTGCATACGGGTCTGGTGTGAGGACAATTGACCCACGGTTTTGGGAATTACAGTTCACTTACATCACTATATATTTTCTAATGGGAGCATTCATTAAAAAACAAAATAAAAAACTGTTTTTTTTCTGATAAATACTGTTACTAATTAACTAAATGATATTACCTAACACCCAAAAATGAACAATGCCTTTTTCTAATAACCCAGACATCGCTGTGTACCCAAGCTGGTTATATAATGAACATTAACTATTATTTCATTTAAGTTTCATGTGTGTGTGTGTGTGTGTGTATAAATAATAGCCAGAAATCTACTTATTTTCTCCATATTTCTCTTTGAAATATTTTATTTTTTATTTGTTTTACAGGCATTTAGCCAGGAAATTCCTTTATTGCTGGGCCAAGAAGACCTTTGGGAGAATCCTGCCGTCCAAAGCCAGGTCTAGAAAGATGATAAATAATTCTCATTTTCTTATTATTTTTATTTATTCATTTATTATTCTTAATATCTAATTTTTAATTTATTATTAATATTTTAAAATATTATTTATTAATATTTTACATTATTATTTTTATTCATTCTTATTTTATTCATATTAATATTGTCAATTATTATTTTATTAATAATTTACATTATTCATTATTATTCATAATATATTTTACATTATTATATTTAGTTATTCATATTTTACATTATTAGTTATTTAAAAATATTTTACATTATTTTATTTCTTTATTATTAATAATGTATTGTTATTTTTTAATTTTTATTCATTTAATATTATTAATAATTAATATTAATATTTTAATAATATTATTTTTATTAATTCCGTTTTAGACGCCATTCCGAGCTCAAGGAAATGAAGAAAGCCTTTGAAACATGGAAGGAAAAATGGTGGGCGGATTGCCATGAATGGAAATTAACTATTAGGGCTGAATGCCATTATCGGTACTTTTATTTTATTCTGTTTATTTGCATTTATTATTATTATTATTATTATTATTATTATCTTTTAAATATTTTATTTTCAATATATATATTTAATTTAATACAGTTTCTTTTTTCCTATTTTATTCTATTTATTTTTAATTAATTAATTTTCTCATGTATTTTATTTTTTCCTTTTATTTTAAATGAAATATTATTTATTTATTTACTTAATTAATTTTAATAATTCATTTACTTAATTAAATTTTCTCATGCTACTTGATTTAATGAACTTTTCCTAATTTTTTGTTATTTTATTTATTTTATTTGTCTTATTTCATTTATTCTTAATTTAATTTATTTTTTTCCCAATCTATTTTAAATGTATATATATTTCCTTTCATTTTTTCCATGTATTTTTCTGATTTTATTAATTATTGCAATTTTATGTACTTTAACTCATCTTTCAATTAATTTTAATTTTTCTTAATTGATTTTGTATTTAGTTTATTTAGTTTATTTTCTGATTATTTTAATGGAATGTGCTTTATTTTTCTCACATTTTCTTAGTTTATTAATTTTATTTAATCCAATTACTTTTATTTTTTATTCTTATTTTATTTATTGCAATGATATTTTATTATTTGAATGTTTTTTTCTTGCTTTATTTTTCTTTATTGTATTTATTTCCCTTATTCATTTATATAGTTGAATTTATTTTCATCAATAACTAAATAAAAACAAGCTATTACAATAACAATAATAATATATTTTTTCTTCTTCAGCTATTTCCTTTCTAATGCCGTCTTCCGAACCTGGAAATTGTATCTATTACATCAAAAAGAGAAAAATAGTCGATTATCTCTTGCAAAGACTCACGGTGAGATAAATATATTAAAAGAATTAAAAAGAAAATATTCTAAAATATCATTGTGTAATATTTTATTTAATTTTAAAATAATTTTAAATATTAATAATAATCTGATGTACTTTAAGGCATAGAAAATAATAATAATAATAATAATAATAATAATAATAATAATATGTTCTTTAAGGCATAGAAAATAATAAAAATAATTAAAGTCGAAGACAGATTCCAAGTGTAGACTCTGCAAGGAAGCAGATGAAACGATGGATCACATTCTCAGCTGCTGAAGAAGATCACACAGATGGACTACAAGCAGAGACATAACACCGTTGCTCAGATGATCCATTGTAACTTGTGCCACAAATACCATCTGCCTGTGACAAAGAACTGGTGGGATCACAAGCCAGAAAAAGTTACAGAAAATGAATGTGTCAAACTAATTTGGGACTTCTGAATTCAGACTGACAGAGTTTTGGAACACAAGACTCCTGACCTCACGATTGTATGAAAAAACAAAGTATGGATCGTCAATGTTGCCATCTTGGGCGACAGCAGGATTGAAGAGAAACAATTGGAAAAGCTGACACGATATGAGGATTTAAAGATCAAACTGTAAAGACTGGCAAAAGCCAGTAAAGGTGGTGATCGGCACACTGGGTGCAGTGCCTAAAGACCTTGGCCTGCACTTAAATACAATTGGCTTTGACAAAATTACCATCTGTCAGCTGCAAAAGTCCACCGTACTCGGATTTGCACGCATTATTCACTGACACATCACACAGTCCTAGACAGGAAGTGTCCGACATGTGATCCAATACAATAGCCAGCATAGTGATCTTGTTTGCTGTGGACTCATCTTGCGTATTAAATAATAAGCATAATAATAATCGGATGTACTTTAAGGCATAGAAAAATTAATAATAATACTACATAATAATAATCTGGTGTACTTTAAGGCATTGAGAAAATATTTTATTTAATTTCTAAATATTATATATTTTATTTCTTTTTTAAAAAATCTATTTATTATTATTATTATTTCAACAGCTAATAAATTAAGGAGGCACCAGATATGGAGACAATGGAGAAAATACATAGAAATTCAACATATAAAGCATTGGATGCGATTGGATGCCGTTGCCTTCAGGGAAGGAAGCCTCCTTCGGTGAGAATCGGATATTATTAATAATTAAATATAATATCATTATGATAAAACTAGCTTGGGTACCCAGCATTCTTGAGTTATTTGAAGAAGGTTTTTTAAAAAAAATACGAATGGTTCCATTAAGAACATGCATAAGGCTGTGGGTGAACTACAACTCCCACCATGGTGGGTCAGTCCCCGCAAAACCCTCCAGGAGGTTCAGTGTGCCAAGTTTCATCCAGGTCCATTAGAATCATAGGATCACATGTCGGACACTTCCTGTCTAGGACTGTGTGATGTGTCAGCGAATAATGCGTGCAAAGAGACCTCATGGGCCATCCAGTCCAACCCCCTGCCAAGAAGCAGGAATATTACATTCAAAGCACCTCTGACAGATGGCCATCCAGCCTCTCTTTAAAAGCTTCCAGAAAGGGAGCCTCCACCACACTCGGGGGCAGATAGTTCCACTGCTGAACGGCTCTCACAACCACCATTGTTGGTGGGGGTCACGGTTTCTCTGTATGTAGGCAAACTGCATCTCCCAAAATTCAAGGTGAATTCCTCCCAAAGCCCTCCAGTATGTTTTGTTGGTCATGGGGTTCTGTGTGCCAAATTAGGTCCAGGTCCATCATTAGTGAGGTTCAGAGTGCTCTTAGATTGGAGGTGTTCTATAAATCCCAGTACTGCTATAAATCAGGGCCAATCCCCCCCTCCCAAAACCCCACCAGTATTCATATTTGGGCATGTCAAATATGCATGGCAAGTGTGGTCCAGATCCATCATTGTTTGGGTTCACAGTGCTCTCTGCATGTGGGTGAACTACAGCTCCTATAAATCAAGGTTAATTCCCCATAGACCTGGTCATAGGGGTTCATTGTGGCAAATGTGGTCCAGACCCATTGTAGATGGAGGTCACAGTGCTGTGTCTTGATGCCGGGTAAACTACAACTTCCATCCTGTTGAGTCAGGCCCCCAACTCTCCAGTATGTTCATTTATTTATCAATTCCACTCTGTTTCCTATGCTCTGTCGGAAAGGGGCAGGGGCATGCCAAATATACATCAATGGAGAGAGTAAGGAACACTGGGATGCCTGTGGTGGAGGAAACACATAAAATCTAGGATGAAATTGTCCCCAAATGAAAGCCTTCACCAATAGAGGGATGGCCATTGGTGTCTCCTGGGTTGTAGAAACTGTAGCTGTTTGTGGAGGCAGAAGCTTGTCAATGAAAGTGGGCACCCCAGCCACATATCCACATCCAGATTTTCACTTTTATTATATGTATAGATTTTGGGGAGGGATAGTGAAATAATGCTGCTTGAAAGGTTTTCTTCTGGATACAGGAGGACAATAATAATTGCTATTATTTCTATATTTAATTTCTGACAGCATTTCCTGGAGTTTATGGAAGAAACAACAAATAGAAAACAAAATGGCTGGCGTGGCTTTGCGCCATTGGGCCCAGCAGCTGAAATCCCGCGTAGCGTATTTTAATTTTAATATTATTTTAATATTTTATTTTAAGGTCATCTTAGTATTTTATAATACTTTAATGTTACATTTTTAATATTACTTTTTGCTATTTCTTTTCTAATATTTGATATTTAAAAAAATATTTTAATATCATTTTAGTATTAGTTTTACATTTTAATGACATATTTTTATTACATTTAAATATTATTTTTTTACTATTTCCTAATATTTTAAAAATATTTTGATATCATTTTAGTATTATTTTTATATTATTTTAATTTCATTTTAATACTACATTTTTAGTATTATTTTTAACATTGTTTTCATATTATTTTAAACAATGTTATTTTTAATATTTAATCATATGTATTGTCATTTTACTATATATATATATATATATACACACACACACACACACACACATATATACATACATATATATATTTCATTATAATATTTTTGTTATTTTAGTTCTGGCTCCAATGGAAGGCAGCGAAGGCCAAGGAAAAGATGGCAGCCTCTGAGCGCAAATCCCGCCTGTTCCTGCTCAGTCAGGAAGTGGATCATTTGGCAGGAAGAGCCTGTTTGAGGAGAGGTTTCCTTCAGTGGAAGCTCTGTATCCTTTTACTACGACTTTTATTTTAATTATTTTACTTTATTTTATTTTTTATATTTATTTATGTATTTGTAAAAATGTTTATTAACATAATTTTAGTATTTATTTATTCATATTTATTAATATTTATTTTAATGTTTCCAACATTATTTCTTGTGTGTGTGTGTGTGTGTGTGTAAATATTTTTAAAATACATATATTTAATTTTTCTGATTTTGATAGTTGTATCATTATATTAACAGGAGGCCAGGTTAGAATCTATTATTATTATTATTATTATTATTTTATGTTGGTTATATTATATTAATTGTATTATTATATGCATTATATATGTAATATACATAATACATATATATAATATATAAATTAGCATTATATTTCACTACTTTTATTGAAATATATAATATAATACAATGAGGAAGGATAATAGAAATAATGTAATAAAAATAATAAATAATGTGGCTTTAACCTTTATTTAATATTAATTCAATGTAATATTTAATTTTTCTATAATGTAATATTTGATATTATTTTAAATATTATTTTAATTTTATTTTTAACTGTATATATTAAATATTAAACAATATTAAAATGACATTAAAATAATATAAATAATCTAAAAGTTGTTAAAATTCCACATACATTAATTGTGTGAAAAAAAGTATGCAAATATTTTTCTCTTAATTAATGTAACAGGTACGGAAGCAGCCTTGCATTTCAAGATGGCGGATCATCACTATCGACTCCATTTGCTAGTAAGTACTTGCCTCTAATATATGATATAGTAATAATGATAATAAAAATAATAGTCCAAATTAAATAATGTTTAAATAATATTTAAAATAGTAAAATAATAAGAACACAATTACAGTATTTAACATATTTTAAAAATTGATGAAAAAATAATTGCCAATAATAAGAATAACATTCAAATTTTCAAAAATAATAGAAACATTATGAAATAATATTTAAAATATTAATAAAGATATATTATAAAATAAAAAGAGATAAAATAATATTAGTAAAAATATTGTTAATTAGTAATATTTAAATGTTAAATTGATTAAAATAAGAAATAGTAATAACAGTATTTTAAAAATAGATAAAATAATAGTCAATAATAATTAATATTCATAATATTTAAAAATATTATTAAATACTATTACAATGATTAAGAATAATAATAAGGATAATTAAAATATTTTAAAATTAGTATTTTAATCTTATTTTAATATTTTAAACCGTATTGTTTATTACTAATATTTGCAATATTCTTATTATTGTCTTCTATTATTTTATGTTTTAATTATATTTTTAAAAATATTTTTAAATTATTTCTTATTTTTAATATTTTAAATCTTTTATTAGTTTCATCTATTTTAAGTGTTCTATTTTCTTATTATTTCTTATTTCTTTTTTAAATGTTTTATTATTATTTTTAATATTTTAAATACTATTATTTATTAATATATTAATATTTTAAATGTTATTCCTATTTTTATCTATTATCCCTGCTTTTCAGTCTCGTGGCTTTTGCTCCTTTCGTAAGAATGTCGCAGAAACAGCCTCCAAGCAAATAAGGAATAACTTGGCTCAACAACAGCGTCGCATGGCGGTGAGCCTCTTTTGCATGTAATTTACATACAGGAATCGTATTGGCCTTGGTTGCTGCAACATCACACTTGAGAAACCCATCTTTAATTTGTTGCAGTTATTCCGCCGTTTCTGGGATAGATGGCGCTCTCACTTGGAAGAGAAGGAAGAACAAAAGGGAAGGCCACAGATGCTGATGGCCGTCATTCAATTCAGGTCCGTCTTGTATCAATTAATTGATTTATTATGATTATTATGATTATTATTTATAATAGATTGATCTCCTCATTTCTAGGGAGACGTGGACTGGCCGCTTCTTTTATCAATGGCGGCTGAGAACGGAAAGGCAGCGGAAGGACAAAATGGCGAGGAAACTGGTATATTTATTGATTCATTTATTTGGTTAATGAAATAATAATAACAGCCAGCAGAGTGATCTTGTCTGCTGTGGACTCATTTTGTTGTGTTTCAAATAATAATAAAGTATAATATATTACTAGCCGTCCCCTGCCACGCGTTGCTGTGGCCCACATGGGGGTTCTGTGTGGGAGGTTTGGCCCAATTCTATCGTTGGTGGGTTTCAGAATGCTCTGTGATTGTAGGTGAACTATAAATCCCAGCAACTACAACTCCCAAATGTCAAGATTCTATTTTCCCCAAACTCCACCAGTGTTCACATTTGGGCATATTGAGGATTCGTAGAGTTTGGTCCAGATCCATCATTGTTTGAGTCCACAGTGCTCTCTGGATGTAGGTGAACTACAACTCCCAACAATGCCCACCAAACCCTTCCAGTATTTTCTGTTGGTCATGGAGTTCTGTGTGCCAAGTTTGGTTCAATTCCATCATTGGTGGGGTTCAGAATGCTCTTTGATTGTAGGTGAACTATAAATCCCAGCAACTACAACTCCCAAATGACAAAATCTAATTTTTTTGAGTGAAGGGCATACATTGGGTTGTTAGGTGTCTTGTGTCCAAATTTGGTGTCAATTCGTCCAGTGGTTTTTGAGTCCTGTTAATCCCACAAATGAACATTACATTTTTATTTATATAGATATAATAATAATAATAATAATATAATAATAATAATAATAATAATAATAATATAATAATAATGGTGTGGAATTTCCCAACCCTTGCCAATGTCCTCCCCAAACACCATACTGCCTCCCACCCACGTGAAGGCTTTCATTCAGGGAGAATTTCATCCTAGACGTTCTGTGTTTTCTCCAGAATGGGCACCCCAGGGTTCCTTTCTTTTTCCATTGGTGTGGAATTTCCCAACCCTTGCCCACTTCTTCCTCATTAACCCTATACAGCAAACAGGAATTGATCAGCAACTGAACAAGAGGTTTGGGGCGAACCGACCTTGGTTTATAGGAGTCGTAGTTCACCTACATCAGGGGTCCTCAAACTAAGGCCTGGGGGCCAGATATGGCCCTCCAAGGTCATTTACCCGGCCCTTGCTCAGGGTCAACCTAAGTCTGAAATGACTTGAAAGCCACAACAACAACAATCCTATTTCATCAGCCAGAAACAGGTCCACACTTCCCATTTCAATACAAATAAGTTTACATTTGTCAAAATTGTTCTTCATTTTAATCTTTGTATTGCTTTTTAAGTGTTTTTGGCACTTCAAATAAGCTATGTGCAGTGTGCATAGGAATTTATTCTTTCATTTTTTCAAATTAGAGTCTGGCCCTCCAACAGTTTGAGGGACTATGACCTGGCCCTCTGTTTAAAAAGTTTGAGGACCCCTGACCTACATCGAGAGAGCACTGTGAACGCAATCAACAATGCTTCTGGACTACACTTGCCACAGATGATGGGATTTGCAGTACTTCCTGAGACCACTGCAACCACAACGAATGATGGACCTGGACCAAACAACTGAAGACAATCACATTTTGAAATATCGTCAATTATTTCACCAATACGTTGTTGATATGTATGCAAAAATCAAAACAGAACGTTTGAGATACATCCGCTTGAATCAAACCAAGCTTCACTCTGAAGAACATGCACATCTTTGATGATGGTAATATAACTAACGTTGGAAGACTCACAATTTTACCATCTTCATATACAGGCAGTCCACATATGCATGAATATGCTCAAGATGCAAATGTGTATGTATGTCAGTACAGGCGTCCAGACTTGTTCGTAACATTTACTTGCAATCCAGCTTGGGACAGAATACACCCGCTCTTACTTCCTGAGCAGATACCAATGGATTGGCATGACATTACAGCATGTGTTTTCAGACAGACATGAAGTAGTGATGACAAATATGATACATGGACCTTGCAGTACACTGAATCCAAAGTCGCCATGCATGATAGATGTGAAATGCTCTAAGCGATATCCTTGAGCACTACTGTCCCACAGTCACAGGAAACAACGAATATCCTTTATACAGAAGAAGATGGCAGTCAATTAACAACACATGCGAAACGCTGACATTGAAGTAGATAACCAGTGGGTTGTTCTGTTCTCACCTTCGCTATCAAAAACATACAAAGTGCACATCAATGTGGAATACTGTAACTCCATTAAATCTAATCAAATATATTTGTAAGTATGAGAATAAAGGAAGCAACATGGCAGTTTTTGGTGATAGATACATGGCCACACATATTGATGAAATCACACAGTATTGGGCAGGAAGATACATAAGCAGCCATGAAGCTTTATGGCACATTCTTTCATTTCCCATACATGAACGAAGTAGTGCTGTGGTCCACTTAGCAGTACATCTAGAAAATGGACAATGTGTTTATTTCACAGCAGCAACTATGCAACAAATAGCCCTGAATCCACCGGCAACAACATTAACAGCTTTCTTCACATTATGTCAAAATTGTCTGAAAGCACATTTAGTGAGTTGATAATGTACATATGTTCTGAATTAAGAATAGTAAACTACTTGTACTTGTTCACCTGTGTGGCATATTTTTTTCCCTGAAAAGGCAGCGTGTGGGCTGATCAAATGTGAACTATACGTGATTTATTTTGCATTGCGCCACAAAAATGATGCATTTGCAAAAACACTGTTGTATTCGGGAGTATCTATGTATTACACATGGAATGCAATCAGAAAAACATTTGTACGACACAAACAAGGAAAACAAGTCAACAGACCACCAGGCATATTCAAAAACACTACCATAGGTAGACTGTACACCATGCATCCCAAGCAAGGTTAATGTTTCTTTTTTCATATGCTGCTGGTAGAATCGTAGTATCATAGAATTGGAAGGGTCCTCATGGGCCATCCAGTCCAGCCCCCCGCCAAGAAGCAGAAATATTGCATTCAAAGCACCCTTGACAGATGGCCATCCAGCCTCTGTTTAAAAGCCTCCAAAGAAGGAGCCTCCACCACACTCCGGGGCAGAGAGTTCCACTGCTGAACGGCTCTCACAGTCAGGAAGTTCTTCCTCATGTTCAGGTGGAATCTCCTTCCCTGTAGTTTGAAGCCATTGTTCCGCGTCCTAGTCTCCAGGGAAGCAGAAAACAAGCTTGCTCCCTCCTCCCTGTGGCTTCCTCTCACATATTTATACATGGCTATCATATCTCCTCTCAGCCTTCTCTTCTTCAGGCTAAACATGCCCAGCTCCTTAAGCCGCTTCTCATAGGGCTTGTTCTCCAGACCCTTGATCATTTTAGTCGCCCTCCTCTGGACGCATTGCAGTTTGTCATTATCTCTCTTGAATTGGACACAATATTCCAGGTGTGGTCTAACCAAAGCGGAATAGAGGGGTAGCATGACTTCCCTAGATCTAGACACTATGCTCCTATTGATGCAGGCCAAAATCCCATTGGCTTTTTTTGCCGCCACATCACATTGTTGGCTCATGTTTAACTTGCTGTCCACAAGGACTCCAAGATCTTTTTCACACGTGCTGCTCTCGAGCCAGGCATCGTCCCCCATTCTGTATCTTTGCATTTTGTTTTTTCTGCCAAAGTGGAGTATCTTGCATTTGTCACTGTTGAACTTCATTTTGTTAGTTTTGGCCCATCTCTCTAGTCTGTCAAGATTGTTTTGAATTCTGCTTATTGAAATTGGGTGTGCCAATTACCATGTTGTGAAATATCAACCAGCCAAAGCTTTGCAATGGCATGCGCCTTGCAGTCAAAATATGATTGAGCAATGGTCGTAGAAGCAACAACCTTGACAGGACCTTTCAAAGGTGAAGATGCCCATGCATTCCAATGATTGTAACAGATATGCCATTTCAATTTAGGGGACTGCAAATCCCAATTCGACTGTTGTTTGCTATCACCATCAACAAAGCACAAGGCCAATCGTTAGAATTGTGTGATTTAGATCTAGACACTGACTGCTTCCCACATGGACAATTATATGTTGCATGTTCTAGAGTAGGCAAACCAGACAATCTCTATGTATACACTGACAAAGGAACAACAAGAAAGATTGTCGTCCCACAAGCATTATGAAATAACATATATTAGAAACCAGCACTTTCTCTTTACTTTATTTTCCATTTAATCAGTTTGGGCCACAGCAACATGTGGCCAGGTACAGCTAGTATATAATATAATGTAATAATATAATAATAATAATAATAATAATAATAATAATAATAATAATAATAGCATGGCTGTGGCTCACAAATGGAACTTGGAAAAAAGAGACGGAGCGCCTGATTCTGGCAGCCCAAGAACAAGCCATTTGAACCAATGCCATCAAAGCCAGAATTGAAAAGTCAATGACAGATCCTAAATGTAGACACTGCAAGGAAGCAGATGAAACAATAGATCACATCCTCAGCTGCTGTAAGAAGATCGCGCAGACAGACTACAAGCAGAGGCATAACACCGTTGCTCAGATGATTCATTGGGAATTGTGCCAGAAACACCACCTGCCTGCGACAAAGAACTGGTGGGATCACAAACCGGGAAAATTACAGAAAATGAACACATCAAACTACTCTGGGACTTCCGAATCCAGAGAGACAGAGTTTTGGAGCACAATACTCCTGAACTCACAATTGTGTTAAAAAAAAATAAGTATGGATCGTTGATGTTGCAATCCCAGCAGGATTGAAAAGAAACAACTGGAAAAGCTGACACGATATGAGGATTTAAAAACTGAACTGCAAAGACTCTGGCACAAACCAGTAAAGGTGGTCCCAGTGGTGATTGGCACACTGAGTGCAGTGCCTAAAAACCTTGGCCTGCACTTAAACACAATGGGCACTGACAAAATTACCATCTGCCAGCTGCAAAAGGCCACCTTACTGGGATCTGCACGCATTATTCGCCGATACATCACACAGTCCTAGACACTTGGGAAGTGTCTGACGTGTGATCCAATACAACAGCCAGCAGAGTGATCTTGTTCTTGTTTGCTGTGGACTCATCTTGTTGTGTTAATAATAATAATAATAATAATAATAATAATATAATCTCATTGGGGGCTGGTTCTTGTTCGGCAGGAAGCCAATACATATATTTTATATATAATGCAATAAAAATTATGTAATATAAAAATATAATATAACATGAAAGTATAATAAAATAATATTATGATAAAGATAGTATAATAATATAATATAATAATAATAATGCAATATAATAATACTAATGTATAACAACCATCTCCCTGTGTGTTTCAGGTGTTCCCATTGGAGGCTCAGGTGCTTGTGTGGCAGTGCTGGGTGCACTGAAGCCAATACATATGATAATAATATAATAAATATAAGGAAGTATAATATAATAATAAATATAATGAGAATAGTAATATAATGGTAATATAGTTATAATATAATAAGGAAGTCTAGTAATACTATAATGTAATATAATAAGTAATATAATTGTTGTTGT